TCAATTGGGGCAGGAAAGTAGGTCACGGAAGTAGGTTAAATTTACAACCATAAATTTAAAGAAAGCAGCAGTCTAAAGGTCTTTTATGGCTGATCGAGTGATCTATTCAGTTTATCCCTTGGCACGTCGAATTTATTTGAGCCATATAAGAATCTAGTAGAAGTGGTTTACATGTATTACTGGGAATCCACACTCCACCGATGCTCGGTTCGTATGTACCTTTAACAATTTTATAAAACACTGCTTAACTCATTTTACGCACTGCAAAACAGACTGCTTAGATGCAAAATTTCAAATTCTTCCATACAGTAGTTGCCGACATATGGATATTTTTTGACAGAACCATGCTTCATCAAAGCCAAGCTTTGACCAGCCCAAAGGAGCACTAGCTAGTTAAATCACTGCATATTACACAATGCGGCAGTGCAACTGACTTGCTAGTGAGTTAATAGGTAGCGAAACCGCATACTTCTCCAGTCAGATATCTTACGTGAGATCTCAATTTTTTTGAAAAAAGAACGCATTTTTATAATGATTTTAGAGTTAGATGGACTCCATGAGAGCCAGGGGGTGATTGTCTCTGATAAGAGAGTCTAAAGACTCTGGTAATGGGGTAATTTGACCCTTATATAGGAGTAAAATTAACTCCACGAGGGTCAAGGGTGCTGGACTCTGACTAGAGAGTCAAATGACTCCAATTTTATTCTCAGTGTGTGACTTTGTCCCTGAATGGCAAGTAACAGGTAAAGGGGTCCTTTTAAACGATAACCCACAATGCGCCGAGAATGCTGAGAAAAATGGCAACAGTAACAAACATTTAAATTTGCACGGTGGTGCAATAGATTGCAGTTCAGCAGAACGTAAGGGAAAAGTGGGTTTCTTTTTATAGATTTTACTCGTTGTCTCACCAAACTCACAACTCCTCGTGCATTATTACCCAACCATTTACTTAACTCCAAAATGGATCGCTTTATTTCATGTTGATTCGTGAAACCTGGGGTTTTTCCAGTTGCCTTACTCCAGTGTATATCTAAAACTGGTTTTGCCTGTACAATACACTGTATCGTTTAAAATGCTAAACAGTTCTTCCTTTAAAAATCCCATTCGACAAGCAATGCTGCAGTAGCTTTACGCCATTGGCCTTAATGTGACTTCGCACATGCTCGGTGGATTTTGGACCTGGGTGGATGTTGGACTGAATGGGCGTAGGTAACCGTTTCTCTGAATCAAAATCATAATTCAAGACTAAGGGTCTTAAAATATCAAATGGAGCACAGCATGAACATACAAAAACCACCCTACTTTCTTAAGGTAAATAGTGTTTTGTTTAATGCGGCCATCTACGCCTCTTGATCCACGAAATATATTTGAATACCGGTCCAAATATTGTTTGAGTCATTTAAAACCACTTTGATGTAAATTGTCATTCTCTTTTTTGTACACTTATCTTCTGAGGAAAGGGAGTGGCATTTATTTCAAACATCATAGGCTCGAAGTTAGGTTGGACATCTGGTGGAAAGCTTACCCTAAACCGATGAAAAAACAATGCCTGGAAAAGAAACTAATTACTATTCATACCTGTACATGTATATGTAAGTAGTGCACACACGCTATTCATAAATATCAATAAAATGTAATATTCACCAAGACTATCTGACGCATTTAAAAGAACAAAACAACACGTACCATGAACATCATGATTTCTGCCATGGCAAGTGCTTCTCCCACACATTTCCTTTTGCCACTGCCGAACGGCAACCATGTCTTTGTATCCAATTTTTTCAAGCTGCCATCTTTCTCTAGGAATCTCTCTGGGCTGAAAACCTCTGGCGATTCCCAGTTTTTCGGGTCATGGTGGATTGCCCATATGTTTGCATAGACAATAGTGTCTTTTGGGATATCGTATCCACCTAAATGATGATGCATAAAAAAGGTGTAGCGTCATACCTACGGTGCAGTGCTAACAACATAATACTAGCTAAAGAGGTCAGTATTTGACATGGACAGTAAAATTAATTTTCAGATTGTAATTCAATAAAAAATGTACTACACGAGAAAAAGTAGGTACTATGTAAGCAAAAGCCGAATGATGCTGTGGAATTCAAATTTATGCAATCGGTGGTCCTAAAACTTCATGTCATCGCCTGTTTTTATTTTTATTTTTGTCGGATGGGGGAAATTAATTATATATTGATAATGATAGAAAATTCAATAACCCAAGTTTTATATGCACGCAAGACAAATTGATGTCTTACCTAATTCAGTGTCACAAAGTGTTTTATGTCTTAAAGCCACTGGGCCCGCAGGGCGAATGCGCATCACTTCCCTAACAACAGCTTCGCAGTAAGTCATCTTACTTCTGCAGCGACGAAGATCGTCCAAATTGTTTTCTATATGTCACATCAAAAAATGAGGTTCTTTTTCAAAATACAACAATCGTATGAAGGACATTAACATAATGAGTATATGCACAAATAGTGAAGAACTCATACAGACACTCGTTTTCTAGAACTGTGAAAAATATGTATATGTGACCAATAATGTTCACATGTAACTGTAACTGAAATGAAGACAAGAAAGAAGATTTTTTTTTACAACGTACCTAGGTCGTCTATCTCCTTGTGAATCTTTGTCTGGACTTTTGGATTAGCTGCTACATACATTACCATCCACTTCAACGTGTCGGATGAAGTCACGGTTCCAGCTAGGGGAGATATATGTCTGCTTAATAATCATCGGAGGCATTGTAATGAATTACATGTTTCATACTGAGCATCGCACACCAACAATAGATGTGCTTTGTACAGAAACATATATTTTCCTTCCCATTAAAACCTATCACATGTTTGGTAAGGAAGTAATAAGAAGTGTCTAAGTTAAATTATCAGAGGTGTACCTCATTCTTTCTCCCTGTAATGTTGGTTAAACGTGGAGAATAGAAAATAAAATACACTAATGCTATGGACAAAGTAAATGTTTTACCACATAATGAGGCTTTTTTTCATGCAAGAAAAACAGATTTTGACACTGCGCGGAGGATGGGGTCATACATTGTATGACTTCACCTCTGAATCTGTGAGTTTATCGTACTCTCCTCTTTGACCAAGAGGGTCACTAGTGGTACCTTTCGAAAATATGAATCGCCCAAATTTTGTTGACTATCTAGAGACCCGTGTGATATCAGAAGCTACTTTGATATTGCGATTCCTTTTTAATTACGGAAAAGGCATCAACTGAGTCGTCTGGAATACCTTCACATACAAAAGCAACTGCAGTTATATGCAAGTATGGCAGTGGTGGATTTAGATTGGGGTCAGGGGGTCCTGACCCCCCTTCGATTTCTGGTCCCCTTTTGAAACTAGAAATTTGACTAGCTGAATAATAGTTCTGAAATCGTCAAAATGGCACCATTTGCCCTCTTAAATACCCCCCTCAAAAAAAAAAAAAAAAAAAAAAAAAAAAATGGGGGCCCAGAACCCCACGTAGGGGTTGGGGGGGGGGGAGGGTTGACTTCGCATGCGCGGATCCCCCTTCACATTATCCTGGATCCGCCCTTGTATGGATCTAATCGACAAAGTACCAAATACTAGAAGTGCTATATAAATAGTGCAGGTGTGCTATCTTAAAAATCAACCGTACCAATACATATGTCCAATACGCTTTGCAGGATTCTAGTGTCGGTCAACGACTCCTTGGCGTTCTCATCACTTTCAGGTGTCAGCTCCTCTTTCAACAGCAAAAGGTGGTCCGTGATGTCTCTTGCGTCACCTTTGAAATAAAAACTGACCATACTTTAAAGGCTACTTATTTTCAGTAGAACTATTTATCACAATTTATATAGTACATTTTGTGAAGTGTTTATATTGGCTACATACAATTAGTAAACTATAAAATAATGATAATAATAATAATAAATTGACTGAAAATCCCTTCAATTTCCCAGTTGCTTTCTGGTGAATGTTCACTTCAGTAATATTAAATTCAACGGATTACAGGCATTTTGTAAATATATTTTATAAGTTGTTTTGCCATGAGGGATGATGGGATAGGAAATTTTTTCAAAACAGGGGTGACGTCAGAGGGAATGAATCCTGCCAATAGTTTTTCATAAAGTTCGTCAATTTTGTCCTTTAACCAGGTGAATTCCAGACTGTCAATTGTGTAGCTGAAAAGGGTAACATTTCATTTCTGAGTTTCGAACAACATCTAAGTGTAGCAGATATTTAATAATCAATTCTATACAAAGATTATCCAATGGGATATCATGGATGTATAAATTTACAGATATAATTTATATAATTTCAGATAGCGTCTCATCTTAACCACACGTCCTCTCTATTGTCACATTGGCGACTCTACCGAGACTCTAGTTATAATAGACTAATAAGTACCCATTTGGCACTTAATGATAATTTTTTATTTGACCATTAAGTAACAGATTTCTAAATAAATATTTAATAATTTAAATAATTTAATAATTTAATAATTTAATAAATATAAACGGCACATTTACGAGTGATTCCATTAGATTTCGGTTTTCCCGTTACATATTTTGGATAAGTTGTCAAAATAATGTAGAAACGCACGACGTCTTTTGTTCTACGTAAATCGGTCCCTGGATACTATCAGATAATCAGACTGACACACCCCTTATAAGTGTAATTACCAGTTTTTTTCTGTATTCTGCTCATCGCCAGGAGAAGGCGTATTAACATGTGAATCTGCATGCTTTTAGTTAGAAACCCCACAGAGTTAGATCGATTTAAGAAGATCGAATGATAGATGCATTTGGAATGAACCCATAGAAAGAAAATCAATTGGTTTTCCACAATCCAATGGAAAAAGTTACAAGAAGACCGAGTGCGTATCAACCATATAATTTAAGCAGTTATACACCTATTTCCAAACGCCATCCTGCAGATGATGTTGAAGACAAGTAACCGGATGTAAACGTCTAATTCAAACGGCTCGGTCTCCTTTTCAATCAGGTTTGCGACTTCCTCAAAAGCAGACCTCGTGTATGTTTCCAATTTATCTCCCGCCAAGTAGGTCCTAAATAACGAAACCAATGATAACCCTCTGTGACTATATCTAATGTTTTCATGTGTAATTTACCCTGAGATTGTAATAAACTAGGTCTTCTTGACTCCAAAACAACATGTGAAGACTCCCTTGTATTCCTCATACTTGATATATAACGGGTACTTTAAAACATACACGGCACACGGCAGGGCAGAATGGAATAATACGGGGCTTTATTCAGGTTTTTCAATCAAGCAATCCATGTAACGCACCAATATAAGGTCAACGTACCTGAGAGCCTTCAAAGTCATCTGTCTCTGCAGTCTCCAAACTGGACCATAGTTGGCGAAAGTTATATCTTTGAACCCGTCAGTGATAAGCTCAACTTGATTAACATATGGGTAAAGGGGTTAATCAGACGAAACAAACCGTATTTCATCAGCTAAATCTCATTTAAATTACATTTTTCCAAAGCACTGCTGGTGACTTTGAAAACGTACAAACTACAGTTAATTAATTCATTCCTTTGTTTATGTATTTGATGCGGGAACTGTACGTCATCATGACGTTTTAACTATTATATACATATGATATACATATGGGACACGTACACTATTCTATTCTTTATTTATTATATTCAATAAAAATGCTACTCACACTTCCAGCTCTCAGCATCTCTCCCCGCAAATATCTCTTTCTTCTCAACAAAGGCCTCATGAACAATATCCGCAGATTTTAGAACAACGACAGAGCGTCCAAATCCTGTGAAGTCAAATCACGTTTAATTGTTAGATTTTATTTCCTTCTAAAATAGATTGAAAATCGAACAAGGTTATATACTTTAAAACATTCTAACTGAATTAACATATTATAACACTGACAACTAATTTAAATGCTTAAATGCTGAAAATAAGCATTTTACTTAAACTATAAAACATTGTTTAGATATGATAAGTTAATTATCGAAATAAATTTATACCTAAATTCACCGTAAAAATGTCATCAAAGGACTTCCCGAGCTTATTGAAGACGGCGTACAGTCGACCTTCGTTTCTAAAAGCTGAAATGGTGCACATGTACGAATATAAGGCTAATTTTTCAAATTTGTGTACAGTATAGATGTGTGAAAGACATATGCCTGATTAAGTACCGGTGTAACGTAACAGAGAGACTGTCCGCTTCCCATTCTTTCGTACAGATAAGCATCGCCCTAGATTTTGACCCACTTTGGTCAGGCTAACACTATCCATCATAACTACATGGAGGCGGACTCTCTCTTACATGGACACTTAGTTTCGTTACACCGGGTTGGAAGAGGGCGTGGGAAGGGGGTTATGATGAAACTAATGGGGAATACCCAGTTTAATACAATGTATGTCTTCCCTAGATCTGTCATTTGTAAAAGTATTAAAATGCTATTTGGCCTAATCCATATCTCCCTCACTCTGTCTCTCTCTCTCTTGCCAGGAACTCCTTTACTGGGTATTTTCTGACCCTCTAAGATCTGATGTGTTCTTTTTCCCATTTACTTGTGTATTTGTCTGGTTTTCAAATATATCTCACCAAAGTAGTGTCCCAGTATCGGCAGATGAGGAGGTCCTGGCGGCAGTTTGTACTTCTTCCTCTGTAGATATGACATCACCAACAGGAATACTATGATTCCCACCAAGACAGTTTTCACAGGAAGCCAACTAATTATAGCTGCATCCATCATCCTAAAATCGTATATGTCAACTGTAAAGTTGTCATCTAAATAACGTGTGGTAAAAGCATTTTCCTTAAAACTGTACTTATACCTCCCCTGGAAACAAAGACATATATCTCATCATTTCATAAAATATCTTTAAGAGTAACATTTACCCTAGTTTTAACCAAGATTCATCAAGGGTAGTCCAAATACACGAAACATTAATTTCCGACCCAAAACTTCTTTAATTTTAGTAAATATATATGGACTTTTCTCGAACATGAACAGATGTAAAATTCATTTTTTCATCTTTTAAATTTGTGTTGAAGTCGGTAAAAGTTATCACTACTGTCTACCCTGTACAAGCTCCAATGCTTGCGTAGTGAAGAGTTTCCTTAGGCCTTCAACCACGACCTGATCATTTTTCAAGGTTATATACACAAAGGAAACACAATTGGGTCAGTTTCATTCAAAGGGACCCTAAGCGTGATGGTATATTCTCAGTGTGTTAGTTGTACTACTGACTGATGGCCCTGAAAATGCATTGTAGCGCATGCCCGTTTGCAAAATAGTAAGCATTAGAGCACCGAGGTTGTATAACCTGTATTGCATCATAAAGAAGCCGTCCAAGTCTAGTCACGTACATCAGTTTGTTTACATCAACTGTAAACGGCCCATCAAATTACGTCTAATTAAGGTTATAGCGCCCATCAAATTTGACAGCAAGACATAAATGTGTACAAGTTATCAGTCGGTGGTTCAGTTAAAATTCCTCTTGCTATTATGATTCGTTTGGGGACTGACCCTATTAATGGTGGGATGTCCTTCCGATAGGCTCCCAGTTTATTTAAGCTCTTCCATTAAAAAAACTCACATGCTCATAAGGACAAAAAAGGAACACGTGTTTCCTACATAGATTTTATTGCTTTGAGTTGTTTAAGCAGGCAGTGTTTTCATTATGTTCAGTGGGCTGCTTGGGTTGTCACTGATCTGTAATCTAGTAAAAGAACCACAATTAAAAAATGGCAATACGTAAATTGATATACCCTTATTACATAATGGCTATAACTCCATATTCGACTAAACTAAAGAGCGATGCGATGCAATGCCACCATGTCAGTTTTGCACCTTTTCTAAAAGATTGGGTATAACACATTTACATAATCCACGTTTATATTGATCATTTTGAAAACATATTTCTCACCTCTTCTCAATGCCAAGACCCTGTTATCACCAGGCAGTACCAATGTTTAAAAGCAACCTTCCCCTTATCCCTCCGGCCCCCACATGCGGGTCTTAATACGTATGACGCAACATGGGTGCGCCTGCGTATACATGACCTAAATTGCACAATAGCAACGTACGTGTGGGTATTTTAATTATCAAACCGGTTTCAAAATTTAAAAACAGCTACTGCATTCGGTGTTGAAAAGTACTGCTTGCATAACTGATGAAAGAGGCAATGCAGTATATTATTAAGGCCCGTAGGAGGGTTAAATTGCTTTTAAATCACGTTTTTGATGTTTTTTTTTGCGTGTTTATAATAATCAAAAAGTATCTGATATTCGATGTAATAATGTTTTTGGAGTTTGCACTGCAAAATGTGTTTTTGATGAGTTTTTCAACCGGCACGCGCCCCAGTCAGACTGACGACTAAGCCACGCCTCTGTTGCTATGGGCTGTTGCCATGAGGGGCAGAGCAAAGTTAATGAGTTATTAGCCTATTACGTGTGTGGTAACAGGTCATAAGTCTTACATCAGCCGAGCAGTGAAGAAGTCCAGTACAATATGGGGAAGAGAAAAGTTCGTTTGTAAGCAAAATCAATAAAGAAAAGAAAAAAGAGACCGGTAACAATACTTTTGGGTCTTAATTTTGGCGATATATATATCGGCGAGCGTATCTGCGACAAGTTACGAAACCGTAAATGTTCGACGCCGTTTCAAAAACGTATTTTGTTGGCTGTATTTTTCACGCAACATAGAATCTATTGATTAAAACTCATATTGACAAAAATAAGTTTTATTCTCTTTCTATGAATATATTAAGAAGCTTGAGAGACACGCGAATGAATTGTGATGGGAATGGCTAAATGAGAGATGTTCAAACGAGGGTTGATTTGAAAAAAAAAAATGCATGTTAGCGGGATATCGCATTTTGCGATGTTTGGAGAAAATTAATTGCACAATCGCTCATCAAGCGGAAAGAAAGAGTTCAAAGAGTTCAAAACGTAGGCATAGATAGAACTCACAAAAAAGACCACGAGAATATATTAACATTCTGTAGGTCCATTACGTTATGTCCCGTAGTGCATATAATGAAATTTGGGTGATGATAATACTCGCTCTTAAACATTATGTATTGTGCATCTATATTGTTAAACTAACCTCTTTTGTATACAATATTCCTTTTGTATGCCTGTACATAAGACGACTTTGCTAGCTTGTTTATATACTTTCTCTCCCTCTATTCTTTTCAGTATTAGTGGATGAGGTAGGTGTGTGTGTGTGTGTGGGGGGGGGGGGGGGGGGGGAGGAGCAGCTGTACATAGCACCAGCAGCGGCAGAAGCAACGACAGTAGCATTAGAAGTAGTGTCTGGTAATAGTAAAAGCTCAATCTATTTACTGTACTCGTGTGATGATCGATCGAGTTTAAAGAAAATGCAGTCTAAAGCTCGTTTACGGCTGATTCAGTTTATCTCTTCGCATGTCGAATTTATTTGAGTCGTATAAGAAACAAGTACAATTGGTTTATATATGCGTTAACGGGAATCCAAGATCCACCGATGCTCGGTTTGTATGAACATTTAAGATATTACAATATAGTAACCACGAAAAGAGAACGTTACCTACGAAGAAAACTATCCCTGATGCACTAATCAAGGCTAAATTATATAATGTCTTTTAAATTATATATACATGCATATGTGTATAACAAAGTTAGTTTTTAAATGTATGTTAACATTGAAACTCCTGGAGCCTACGTGGAGCAGGTAAATTCAAATGGACTCCCTTGGCTTCTCCAGGTTACGATGTTTAATACCTCGACCCAGGCGTTGTTACTGCGTGAACAGTTCAAAGGCATTCCTCCAGCTGGTACGGATACAGGTGTTATCGACGACACTCCTCTACCACGGAGCCTGCATCGGTTGTTTCTGCATCTCCATTGCGGTATTTCGAAGTTGTATTCCACTGTCAGCTGACATATAAGCGTTACGATAGGCTGAAATTGGAATACGTGTAGGTGAAACGAGTGCTGATAAAGAAACAACAGAATTTACATGTCAACGATATTTTTTTTAGCTATAAAGAAAAGAACACCAAGTCTAAATGGGTTATATACGTCACGTTACTAAGTGAATGAATTTACAGCGCTGAGATATACCATCTTATATCTCATTTTATAGGGCATTGGAGTTGTAGGGTTATAGCAACCTGAAAATCATTCGTATGTTTATTGTACGAATAGCAAATTCCTCTGGTGTTTCGTGCGTGTCTGTGGGCGTGTACGTATGTGTACATTATGTTTGTAACTCCACCGACATACCATCAGGAAATCAACTATTTGTCTCTCCACTCCCATCCTTCTTAAACCAATGCAGTCATATGACCTGTTATTGCAGTCGAGGCGCACTTCGCAGCGGGTTCCCACAACTACGTACACAAAAATAAACGAATTAGCCTTTCTTTGTCTCAAACCTCGGGCTATATGGCAAAATTCATCAAAAGGTAAACATTGTGTGTTAGACTTTTGCCTAGCAAATAAATATCATATGAATGTTAACTTTTCCCTTAATCACTAAAGTATATTCAGTTTTGCACCGTTGAGAAAATTACGACCTACTACATTTAATCTAATTTTCTAATTGTTCAGTCGCTCTCGTACAGAGATGGATACTGACTAAATTCACTTGCATGATTATTACAATCCCAAATCACAAAGTAATAATTAATAGAACAAAAACAAAAATAATAAAAACAAATATTAAAAACACACTTACTATTTCTACACATTCCGTTCCGACCCGGAATTGACGTCAGAGGACAAAGACAAACCTGGGGGGAGCCCGTAATTACCGAAAACAACGGGTTCGTCACACATCGGGTGCCATCGCCACAAGACAGTGGTGGGTAAATGGTGCCGTTCCCCGCCGACGAACAAGGACTGAATAAGCTTGTGCTCAGATCGTTTGTAAAACCTGGGAATACATTCATCATTTATTCATTCATTCATAAAGCCATAAAGTCTCAACCTGCTGTTAATGGACAATAAATGGATGATTTCTGCCGCAACACTAATAACTACCACGTACTTATGATATGGTTGTCAAAATTGTTCACTTTTCTGTATGGAGATATCTTTTATAATCACCTGAAGAGCGTACGACTACCACGGTGAACTTACCTGTGAAGGGTGGTAAACTCATTTTCCACTGCTAAATGCTGATCTGGAAAACTAAAAGCGCAAAAAATAACATGGCATGTAAAATAGCAGAAGCTGAAAACAACACAAAAAACATTTCTAAAAACATGGCATCGCTAACATTACGTGTAATCTGGTGAAAAGTATAAAGTCTTCTTGTATTTACTTGCGGGTGCGTCGCTGGTGAGAAAAGGGAAGGACGTATATACCTTGCACGTCTAGTGTACGTCGTCTCTACGAGCTTTTTAGCCCATCTTTTACAGTCGCGCTGGCTTTAATAGAAAGCCGATTATATCTCCTGGTCAACGAGAGGCTACCCGTTATCAGACGTATGCATTTAAATTATATTGATGATAATTAATAAGGAATAAGGGACTTATAACCGACCATTATGATCTCTTTCCCGATAATGCTGTGTTTCGGTATGCGTGCATATGCAAACTACATTGTGGAAATCGACCGTGATGATCTCCACCTCGATAATGTTGCATCTCGTGTCGCCAGTTATTTCCCAATTTTTCACGTCCTTTGTGCCTGTAATTTTATCGTCAGTCAAAAACTATACATTGATATAACATATATATTTGACATATGCACACTTTAGAGTTGAAAAACACATTTCGCAAAAGACGGACGGTATGAAATATGAACTTAAGCTAGAAAAATGACCAACAATAGTGAAATGACATTGTAAATTCCGTTGTTGCACCATCCAAGTTGCAAACCATGGACAAATTTACGAAGGGACTTGAAACACGGCATCTTCATTTGAAGACATCTGCGTTCGGGTAAACATTCGCCCATTGTGTCAGATAAGCTGTTTTGATAGCTCCACGGGTCCGTGATGTATGATTTATAACTGGTTTTTACACTAGAAATACTTTTCGATCGGATAATAGTCAAAGACAAGCATGCTACACTACAATTATACAATTCTGAATGCTCATTTTACGGCAACAAACAAGATCGCCTGCACCATATTGGGCATTTTTAATTTCTCCATGAACAAACATATGAAATTTTCATCTAGCTTCCAAATTGAGACAACAAATTTTACTTTTACTTAGTCCCTATAAGTTTCTTACCTTATCCACCCGAAGGTCTGCCTCATGCTATCGCCATCTACCAGTCAAAAAAAAAAAATAATAAAATAAAAAAAATAAATAAATAAATAAATAAAAAAATAAAAAAATAAAAATAATAATAATAATAATCTACACGCCTGAATAAAATAAAAATAAAAAAACGCATCGATATGCGCTCTACCTGCATTACCTGTGATCCAAACGCAGGTGGTTTCACGAACAACTCGCGCTAAACCGATTCTCCGTTAATCTCGCCCCGCCACACCAGTCCCTTCGTTATTATGTTCGTTACAATGTCCAAGTACAAGCCAAAATCTCAGATTCTACTCTGCGTGATACTGTCTTGTATGTATCAAAACACCAGAAAAGATTTTCATTAAGATATGCTGTACAGTGCGGTCTGATTTACATGTAGGCTTAACTCATGAAATGAACGTCGTATCAGCAGTGGGGAATCTTTAGAATACTGACCGGCTGAGACCCAAACTCGAAACCAGTTTTACAAATCTTGTTTATGGATCTGGACTCTGAAATACATGTTTTCCTTGTGCGTCCTTATACCTGAATATTGTACTCACAGTTCCCGACTAATAGAAATTACCAAATATTTTGCATTTCTTCCGTTTTTGTCGTTTTTATATTTCAGATCTTCGCACTTGACTTGATTCATGCTTATAACAATTATACCAACTTCCATCGGTAGCGACCCCTGTTAATAGTTTTAAAATGTTAACTTTATTAATTATATCATATTATTGTCACCATTCACATTATTGTCACCATTCGTTTATTTGGCACAATCAGTTTTTACAAGACTTTCAACTATTACCTTCATATGGACAACAGCTTAGCCACGTGAATGAAATACATAGTCAAATTCCGTACGTTATCGGATAGTTAATAGTAAAACAATGAATGATAAGCACGAGAAAATGTAAGAAGAAGGCTATCGAAAAGCAAAAATGTGCATCTCTGTTCTCCCACAAATGACTAATAATAAGTACACGTTATAGAAGTTAGGTAGAAGAAAACTCGCTGTTAATATTCGCAATGTTTTTGCAGCAGAATTGAGGTACTGTACTTGTTCGCCCACAAGTCCACATAGTAGTAATTACGCACAAGGAAATGTTCACAATGTTTTTGCTGCAGATTTTAGATAAAAACCTCTTGGCTCAAATAATGACTAAGTCTGTGAAGTAGAAATTAAGGAGGAGACCTGCTGATAATATTCGCAATGTTTTTGCAAAAAAAAAAAAAAAAAAAAGAAAAAATGAAACAGGATAGAGATGCCTTGAAATTGAGCAGTAAAAAAACATAGTTATCAAACCAGGCTGCTGTACAGGTATTTAGACCACGGTGAAAGTGAAGAACAAAAGACTCAGACGTGGTGTAACTTGCATAACCGCACGTCTCGCATGAATGCGTTATAACCTGTTCATAGACCGTGGTCTAAATAAGATAGACCCCTCGTCAGCGGGGGTTATGTGACATCCACTCGTGCGACCCTCGCTGACTCGGGGTCTATCTATTACTTATACTTCTCTTTGGCGCATACACTAGTACAGTGTATACATACCTAGGGATGTTATATGACCGTGGCGATATGATGATCACTGAAGCCTGTCCATTTAGGCAAGCTTCAGTGGAGATCGAGGGCAACCTCGAGCCGCTACACAAAAATGTCTCGCTTCACTCGACATTTCTGCGTAGTGTCTCTCGGAAACCTCGGATTTAACCTCGATGTAGTCTAGAATTTCACGACTACATCTTGGTTAAATCAGTCGAGGTCTCTTAAATGCCGAAAGCCAAAGACAGAGTGATCATGTGACCTTCTTGGCATCAAGAGAATAGTTGCTTGCGTTTTAGACCTACCAGTAGACAAATTTAAAATCTCTCACGCTATTAAAAAAAATAGCATAAACTTTTCACGTTTAACAATTATTATTTATCATTTTATTACACTAATTCATATCATATGATATCATATCATATCATATCATATCATATCATATGGGTATGGTTTGAAAAGGGGGATTAGTTTATATTTAAGCCACACGTGCATACAAATTATTTGTAAATCTATAACTTTTTAACGAGGGTTGTGCTATTTACCTTTTGTTTTTAAGCTGTTCATTCTTTCTCTTTACCAGATATATCGGTAAAAATCAAATGTATATCCCCTTTGAACTTGTAATTACGTGTAGCACATGAATGCTCTGAAAACCAGCACATGTATATTCCGAAACCGCCTCGTGGTAAAAAAATGTCACCAAAACGTAGAATTACTACTCCTGTGGACTTGAAATAAACATCCGTTTGATTTTGACTATATTCCGTAACCGCCTCGTCGTCAGAAATGACAATAAAAACTAGAATTATTATTCCCGTGAATTTGTAATAAACATCCGTCGATTTTGAATATATTCCGAAACTGCCTCGTTGTCAGAAATATCACCAAAAAGTACATTTCTTTCTCCTTTGCACTTGTGGAAAATTAGTTTGACTAGATTCCGGTCCGACGCTCCTTTTTTTTATCAGAAATGTCACTAAAAAGTAGAGGTTTTGCCTTGGGACCTTGTTTCCGCAGCAGTCCCAGCTAAGTGTGGCTCAGCTGAGACGCGCATGGTCAGTGTCGACGGTTGATTAAATACTTCTCAAGCCAGTTGAACGTCCACGACAAGTATTTAGCAAAAATTGACCAAATTGGTCAGACATTACGTAAGAATTTGGCGGGAGGTGACCAGCACACGTGGACGCTCGAGGTGTTATGGCATATATCGCTCGGGTGACAGTGTATTATCTCGCACATAAAGTAGAAGGCTGCTCCTGTAACGCATGAAGCGGTGAAACGTAACGCGGTGAATCAGTATACCTCATTTCTTCTGAGATTTTGTGAAGCATGCATGATTACAGTAGAATGCTACTTCTGAGGAATATATGACATTGTAAATTCAAGCTTGTCTCACTGCGCCAGCTGTTGCACCATCAATATTCTAAACCAAAATCTCAGATTCTACTCCGCGTGATACTGTCTTGCATATATTAAAATCTTGCATAAGAGGCTTGTTCAATACAGTATATCTTAGATTTTCATTATGATATGCTGCAGAGTGCGATACAAACCCCTTAATCCAAGCAACCGCAGGGGAAATCTGGGCACCGTTTTTATTTCCGTTACGCCCCTTTTTATTGTCGCAAGCAGTGATTGTTTCAAAATCGGTTTTAACAGAAGGCGGTTCGGTCTTAGATGTATACGCTCATGATATAAATGCTGTATCAGCAAGTGGGCAATATTTAACGGCTGAGACCCAAACTCGAAAACAAATGTACAGCTCCTGTTTATAAACTTTACTCCGAAATACATGCATTATTTGGGCGTCCACAGGCTAGAATACAGTGGCGGATTTAGAGGGGAGGGTCAGGGGGGTCTTGAACCCCCCTTCGATTTCTGAAAAAAATCACACCAAATATTATCTCTTCAAATTAGAATTTTGACTAGCCGAATTATAGTTCTGAACCGTACCAAATGGCATTGTTCGCCCTCTAAAATACCCAAATTTTCCGCGGACCCCCCCTTCATCGGGCCCCGTACCCCACGCCAAGGGGGGGGGGAGGGTCGGCTTCGCATCCCCCCCCCCCCCCCGGAATATTGTACTCACAGTTGACTACGAAAGATAAATACAAATGTCCGAACATGGAATAATTCCAGTTTCCCCTCTTACAGGTAGTACCTGTCATTTCTGACACCCTTGTATCCCCTTTCTCCCCCGCATCGTTAGTCTCACACAACGGTATTTTCTACATCCAATCATTACTCCCCCACTTGTATACCCCCGGTTAAAATGAAATATAAACATATAATTATCACTTTTGAAGCTTGAATGAAAGTACAACCTTTTTATGCTATCAAAAATGCGCCTTCCCAGTCCGAAAGTGAGTTTTTTCCGAATCAGCATTAAAAATGTGGAGGAGTAAAGCAGGGGCGTAACCAGGCAAACGCACGGATGCATTGTGCGTACAATTATTTAGGCCAACCATGATATTATTCTCTATAAAATGAGTGTACAGGCACTGAGTACATTAGAGCACTGAAATTGCCGGAATATTTAAAACTTTGTGATGATTTTATTACTAGTGAAAGCTTTGAGCAATGATATTTGGCACATATGGATTAGGATATCCTTTATCTGTTGCGGAAGTCTACATTTAGCTGTACCTGGGAATTTGAAAATCCGTGCGTACAATTTTAAAAGGTCTGGGTCCGCCCCTGTAACGATGCAGTGGCGTGTAGATACGAGTTCTAATTTTGCTAGCCTACAGGAAGTAAACACTGCAGATTTAGTTTTAACTGGTACTTCAATAGCTTTTATTAAAAGGAAGTTCATGCCTACCCAACTACCAGACGCTGCACCGAATGATCCAGAATTCACCGTATGGTAAATCGGATGGCGCAGTCGGTTTTCAGGTTTTGTGTCGGTACACGCTTCGAAGTATCAGATGTGACACCCTCTTGGTGGTGTATGGATACGAGTTCTAATTTTCGGTGTAAAAGAAACATTTTTACACTAAAAGAGCAGAATAGACCATGCGTGAGGCCGTAGGCCACAGATCGTGACGTAGTAGGCCACAACTTACTCTACGTTCACTGTACGCGTTCAATGTCGAGCTGAAACTCTCCATGAGGTGATCTACAGTACTGTGCATGAGTACGCCACCTTGCCACCGTTCTTCTATATATTGAGTGACACATTTGCAGTGATTGAAACGAGGCTTGCGGGTGTGCGTGTTTATATACAAACAGACAAAAGTTAGCCATTTGTTGGATGTACATGGATTTGCATTATGAAAAAAGTAAATAAATCTGAATGGTCAATATTCATTACACGGATGTCCCAAAGAATAAATGTCAATGTTATGTAGGCCTACAGGTTCAACCTTTGCGATGGCGCTCTTACGGTAGCCAACAAGGTGGAAAATGCTTTACTAGCACAAAAGTTCTTTGTGAAATGCGTTTGAGGTGACAGTATTGATTTCTCCGGTGAGGTTAAAGCAATTAGTGCACCATTCAAACTCGTCATCATCAAAAATACTGCATTTATTTTACCTTTAGCACCGATACTGTTTTTTTAATTATGGTATAATTTTTTTTTGGTATTTATTCTTGTAAATTAGATAACGTGTTGATATAGTTTAAAACGGGCTTATATCTGATAGTTAAACAGCAATGCGTTTGGGGGCAGAGTGTTACACGGCTTTAACCGAAATAATTACATGTAATTCTACCGACATCGTTCCACTTCTTATCTAAACGGTACAATTTGAAATAAAATGTTTATACTGAGCACAACAAAGATAATCTCCATTTTTTTATTTAAGCAAAACTGAATATTCATGACTCAACATTTTGTTTATTAAAGCCATTACTGTATTAAAATTGGCGTACAAATAACTCAATTAACGAATTATTTGGTTCATAACTATCATACCCCCCATGCAGATAGATATCCACGTTACCAGTATTAAAAAATCCAATGCTACCCAGTACATGTGTCTTGTTACATATTTTTATATTGCATTTAATCTTGCAATTCATCACTCTGTCAATGTAATTCCGGATACATTTATGTGAATGCATGCAATCCCATGATATTTCTTAGCCATCTAGATCTTCGTGTCTTTACCAGTAGAATGTTACGTTTTAATTACAGTTAATAAGTTCAAACACTGAAAACTTCCTCCGGATCAGTTTAAAAACATTTCTGACACCAAAAATTACATTCTTTTCTTCACGATGATCTTCTGAGGTTTAGGTACACAGGTAAATTCTGCCATTGCAGGCTCGAAGTCTGGCTTTTGTCCGTGTGGAAAGCTCACCTCAAACCGACTGAAAAACAATGCCTGTAAAGAAAATGTACCTTTGAATTGCAAAATGAAATAATAAAATTAACATACAAACATAACTGCTATGTTAAACTTACAGTGCAGTTAGTGTCTTCAAAATGAAATGTAGGTACTGGTATGTATTCAAACATTCAGGAACCTATAGGTAAATTAAATCTATTGATATAAAAAAAGTATTTCAAAACATCACCGCTATGATTATAAAACCTTATAAATAATAATCTTGATTTCAATGTTATATATTGATTTTTGATAAGACCACCATAAACATAAATTCCCATTCTTATGCGAAATAGGCAAGCTAACAGCAAAATGATAAAAATGATACTGATAGTATCGAAACTACCAGTACAATGTATGTCTGAAATTTTGTATATTGAGCACACACAGTAATCATATCAAAACACCATGTGTCATGGTAAACACAATATATACATAATTGTTTTCTTGTCCACCCACCGAAATCATCATAAGGTTTGCCCTGCCAACTGATTCTCCCACACATTTCCTTTTGCCACTGCTGAACGGAATCCAAATTTTGTTGTCAACCTCTTTCAAGCTGCCGTCATTGTTAATAAACCTCTCTGGCTTGAAAACCTCCGGCGACTCCCAGTTTTTCGGGTCATGGTGGATTGCCATAATGTTTGCATACAGCACAGTGCCTTTGGGGATATCGTACGCACCTACATGTAGATGGGAACTGACATTTATAGGCAATGTAATAAATATGATCCCAGGTATAAAAGCTACATGTGCACGTAAATGGTTGGAAGTTCTCTTCATACAACCGATAAGCACATGTTCATAGAACACGCACTTTATATTGAATACAAAAGGTGTCGCGATCGAGCAACATTCAATTAAAAGATGTAAGTAACAGGAATAATAATTCAGCTGAAATCGAAGGTGATTTGGTGATTTTGTTTGGTTCGACCATAACGTATAATGTTTAAGCAGCACATTTCTTTACATTTTTTGTATGTGATTTGAGATCATAGAGGGATTATGTCTAACCTAGTTTGGTGTCACAGAGTGCTTGATGACCTACAGCTACTGGAGCAGGAGGGCGCATGCGCAAAACCTCTCGCTGAATAGCCTCGCTGTAAGGCAATTTATGTCTGCAGTGACGAAGTCCACTGATGTCGTCGCCTGAAAAGGAATAAGTGAAAGCATATTTACATGATTGTTATCATTTTTAAATGATGCACTAATTGAATCAAACATGTTCACAGCAATATAAAAGAGTCCAGAAAATAGACAACATTTTCTAGATTTCTGAAATTAGGCTTAATTGCCAATTGTTTCCATTCGTATATTTATATAAATATACAAAAGATTAAACATTGAACTGTTTATACCTAAGGCGTCTAACTCCTTGTGTAGTTTTGTCTGAACATCTGGATTATCGGCTATATACATAATCATCCACTTCAACGTGTCAACCGTGGTCTGCGTTCCAGCTAAATATAGAAACCGCTACCGATCAATATAGAAACAATAATTCACACACACACACACACACACACACACACACATATACATTGTATTGAGCGCTACATACTTCATGTTTAAAAACAGTATTCATGAAAAAGCATCATTCGCACTGTCATGCAGTAACAAATAAATCTTGGAAAAAAATACACCATGCATATGCATGTATCAAATGAGTAACTGGAATAATCAAGTCACTATACCAAAGAATATATCCAATAGGGTGTGGCGTATGCGAGTGTCAGTAAGCGACTCTTTGGCGTTGTCATCACTCTCGGCTCCCATTTCTTCCTTCAGTAGCAAAATTTGATCCATAATATCTCTAAGGTTACCTTTGAAATAAAATGTCGTAATCTAAGCAAAAAAAAAAAAAAAAAAAAAAAAAAAAAAAAACTAACTGGATCATTCATATGCTGTATGTATATTCACAAATGAAAGACATAAATCAAAATAATGTTTTTCTTTTATTTATCAATCCCGCGAAAAACCCAGAGCAACAATATTTTTAGTGATCCTACAGTTGTATATAAGGTGTGAAATGTAAATAAACTACATGTACGAACCCGAGTTCAAATTTTTCTTGTGTTCTGCCAGTTTGACATTTTGGAAGTCGTTCAGTTCCTTTATGAGTTGTTTCACCGAGAGGGATGACTGGATAGGAAAATGCTTCAAGACGGGAATGACGTCAGAGGGAATGATACTTCCAAATACGGTTCCCATGGTTTTGTCCACGGTGTCCTTCAGCCAAACGAACTCCGGCTCGTCAATTTTGTAACTAGAATAATAAGATCAAACTGTTACCAGGTACAAATCAGTAATAAAATATCTGTGTACATACCTTTCTTTGACCTAAAAATTATTTCCGCGACAGCATGTGCATTCAAGCATTATATGTATATTTATCGTTACAATCTCCGGGCAATATGCCCTCATTGGTTTTGATGCCCTATTCAGTACACGTTTAATCAAGGTGTAGCGATGGAAAGGTTTGAAAGTGGATTCGTTTTTTAAATGTAAATAAACGTTTGTTGCTGTATTAACCCATTCATTAATTCTATTTTTGTTTATTTGATTATTTTTTCAACAAAATGTTGAATAAGGACTTGTATCTTTGGACATAATAAAATATAAAGGATTTGTACTGTAAAGTCATGCTTTTAATTGTAACAAGGGTTATTTCATATCCCTTCGATTGGGGAGTAAAGTTTCGTTTATTTTTATATATCCATTGTTAAAACAGGAAATCACCGGACTCTCCTGCAGAAGAGTATTCCCAAATGTTATGGAACCTACCTTTTTCCGTAAGCCATTCTGCAGACGATGTTGAAGATAAGTAACTGAAAATGAGAATCTATGTCAAATGGCTCAGTCTCTTTTTCAATCAAAGTGGCAACTTCATCAAAAGAAGACCTCACGAATGTTTCCAATTTATCACTCGCTACGTAGGCCCTGAAAAATAAAATAATATTCCAATTCAGGTACATTTGAATGACGTTATGCAGTATGATCAATTTCATTGGTATTTGCATTATCATAATACTGAGAGTGAATAAATAAAAGTTAATTTAAAAAAAATTAAAACAAAATAAAAAATATCTCCCCTGGAATGACATTATTCAGGCAATTTTCCATTTTCCAACTAATGGAAAGTGGAAAGGGAAATCATTAAATTGAGAAGAAAAACACTTGCAGATATGATGATTCAAGTTAGAATGGACATGCATTAGTAAAGTAAGCCATGGAAATAGTTTAACTTAATGATGCATTTTCGTTACGTGTTTGCAAGTTTATTGTTAAAATAAAGCATACAACGAATTTCGCTAATTATCATGTATTTTAGGGTTACACAAATAAAAAAAAATGCTATGAGTTACAAGGTAGAGAAATTAGTAGAGCAGACATTGATTCTAGTATATTTCTGCCTCTATGATCTAGATATAAAACAAGTTGGTTCAAACAAGGGTATCTGTGATGTGCATACAAAAGCGAACCGTGTTTGGAACATTGTTCAACTGAAAAATATATAGAGATATCAACTGAATTAATGTGCCTGAATGCCTTCAGAGTAGTTCCTGAATATAAAACAATATTAAAGAGAAGCCTACGGCCCATGTCGTGTTTATTTACAACTGGAAATATTTAATTTGAGCGAGTTGAAATCTGTTAGAAACGTTATTCAGCTGACTTAGTTTTGCAACCAATAATTCGATCAAATTACCTGAATGCCTTTAAAGCCATCTGTCTCTGTAGTCTCCACACTGGACCGTAATCACTGAAAATTATATCTCTGTTGCCTCCGCTGAATACTTTGACTGTCAAAAAGTATGATAGCAATGATTGGATTAAATCTAAAAAAGGTGTATAAGAGACATTATCTCAACCTTCTCACAAAAAAGTATGATAGCACTGATTGGATTAAATCTAAAAAAGGTGTATTAGAACCCCCCTCCTCACACTATTGCAAAACCCCTCACACATACTATTGTATGGATAGTTAGGACCGTTTTGAATGCATGTAAAGTTCATTTTATACCCCCAGTATTCAGATGCCGGTTTGTAAAGACTTTGCCCCTATCAACACGATAGTTAATCTTGCCATAATATAACAGATACTTACGTTTCCAAGTTAGAGTTTCCCTTCCTGCAAATATCTCCTTCTTTTCGACGAAAGCCTCGTGGACAATATCCGCAGATTTCATGACCACGACATTGTGCCAAAAACCTGTTAACGTCAACCGTATGCATATACTACACATTGTTTACCGTGCTGTTGAGCAATAGAGCAAGTTTTTTTTATGAATGAACTAATGAGGCTAACGTGTACCATCACCATATTTGTATTTAAGTTTTATGTAAAAAGAAACACCTGCCGGAAAAGCTCATCTGAGCCGATCAAAAAATAAACATTGGCTTTTGCCTAACTGCTTAATTCTAGATGATACTTCTGCAGAAAAAAAGAAAGAATTATAAGCTTTTACCTAAATCAATGGTGAACAAGTCACTAAATGACTTCCCGAGCTTGGTGAATACGGAATACAGTCGGCTATCTTTCCTAAATTCTGCAAATATTAATTAATAATCAAATATTTCGAAAAATAAATATTAAATGTATATATCACATTTATTTTTTTTTAATTAATGTATATATATAATAAAGTTATAACCAAAAAGATTTTTTTGAATTTCTAAATAGATTTTTAGCAAATGATTAACATAGGATGAGTGACATATGGTTTACAAAAAGCCTCTGACCAAAGTAACTCCCCACTATCGGCAGCTGTGGAGGTCCTGGCGGGAGTTTGTACTTCTTCCTCTGTAGATATGACATCACCAACAGGAATACCGCGCTCCCGACCAAGACGGTCTTCACAGTAAGTAAACTCAACAAACTCAAGACGATCATCGTTCCTGGAATATTTCTTTGTATCTTTATGGATGGATTAAAATGTTACGATGATAAAGAGATTAAAAAGATTATAATGTTTTAAAAAAGAAAAAAATTAAATCAACATTGTATTTTACATAATTTTAATATCTTATGTTAGTCTTCCTGTTGAATTTCACATGCAACCCACGGCTATCACTTCAACATTTATGTATATATCATTAAAATATATTTTTTCAAACTCATTTATACAAAACCTACTTTACTACCCTTGCTTGCTGTTCCTTCCAGGACACGTCTCTCTTTTACGGCCTCCAGCCACCTGATTGCAGCGTCTGCCTAACTACACTCCAGTATCATTCAGCTCAGGTCTGGGGCCCTTGGCTTCAAGGTCTTCAGATAACCTACAAGTCTATACGTACAAATATATTTACGTGTCTTTAAATGGGCTGATCACGCTATACTTATCCAGGCATTGCCTTGGTATGCATGCACTAGTCGGGTCAAAATATGGACCACTGTAGCCACGTTCAACGATAAGATTTTCAGACTGACAAGTCAGGCTCCTTAGCTTCAAAATAGTCAGATAAGCTACAAGTTTATCATACAGAGTTTGTTTGCAACCTTTTACGTGTCATTATATAGGCTGCTTACTCATCCAAGATATTGCCTTCGTCTGTGTATTTAATTTGCTTACAATCCCGAAGCTATATTTATCTAAATGTTTATTTATAGTTATAATGGCTAAAATAATATTTAATTATTACTATTATCATTTATTGATGTTATGTCACAGCGTATAAAACACAGGGAAAACAGAAATGTCCACACAGAAGTGTCCCAAGAAAAACAGCAACACCACCAACAACAAAATAACACTTACACACTTATCATTAAAACTTCGATGACATGAAATTGGCCGAACGCGTTAAGGGAAATTGTTGACTTACGCTATTTTTATACGATTAGATAAGGTGAATATAAACATTGCCATGTTCAGAGATAAAGCTGCGGCCTCTTAAATACTTTGGGGTTTGCTAATGTGAGCAGAAGACGTCATATATGGACCACTGCAGCCACGTTCTACGATGGGATTTTCAGACTGTCAAGTCAGGCTCCTTGGTTTCAAGTTTCAAGTCGTGTCATAATATAGGCTGCTTACACATCCAAAATATTGCCTTCGTCTTCGTTTTTTTATTTGCTTACAGTTCCGAAACTATATTTTTCTAAATGTTTATTTATAGTTATAATAGCTAAAATAATTTTTTATCATTACAATTATCATTTATTAATATTATCTCACAGCGTATATAACACGGAAAACAAAAATGACCATACAAAAATGTCCTATAAAAAAAGCAACAATAAATAAATAAATAAAAGAATAAATAAATAAATAGCACTTGCATGCTTGTCATTTAAAACGTAGATGCCCTGAAATTGACTGAACGCGTTAAGAGAGATGGTAAGTTAGGATATTTTTATACTCTTAGATAAGGCTAACATAAACATTGCCATGTTCAGAGATAATTTTGTGGCATCTAAAATACATTGGAATTTGCTAATTTGAGCAGATGACGTTACAGCAGTATTTTGGTGCTGATATATGGTTTCAAAAAGATCTTCCTTATCTAAACAGACTCCTATTTAATTACAATAATTAAAATCCAAGTACTATAAAATCCGGTCTCTTAAAAAATGATGTCACAGCAAACACATCCACATCAGGGACACGTACCGCAATTGTGATATCTGTTCTATATTTAAATATCACCGTTCTGTATTACGCTTTTTACCCATTGAGAAATGCTACAGGTGTTGACCCAGATATCATAGGAGTAAAGGTAAACACGCTGCGGCAAAGACTCCAGTGCACCGGAAGTCGCCTTCTACACAGTTTTAAGGTGTTTTGGTGCTCCATGGTCATTGCGATATGATTCTATATCAGCATTAACACTCCCTGTTTATTGAGGATACGAAAAAAAGAAATGTAGAACCAATAAGTTCACTAGTGTGTGCATATGTATGAGGTCTCTCTCTCTCTCTCTCTCTCTCTCTCTCATACCCCGTGTCTCCCTCCTCTTTTCGTGGGTTGACGTATTTGGATTAAACTGATTGCAGTATGATGTACGTTTAAGATATGGATCGGTGGACAGGGCGCGTTGCCTTGGTAACTGGAGTATCGAAAGGGTTAGGAGCAGCCATTGCACGTGCTCTGGTTAAGAATGGCATGGTGGTGGTTGGATGTGCCAGACACATCGAAAATATGCAAATATGGATGAATTTTATATTTTCCTTGGTATTTGTGTTTTATAGGTGTGTTTAATAATAATAATAATAATAGTAATGATAATAATAATAATAATAATAACAACATCAACTTGCAAGTACAAGTTGACTGTTAGAGGTATAGTGAAAGTCTGAATCACTGTGGGATTCTAAAAAATATAATATTTAGGACAAGCAGAATATTAATTAGGAAAACGTTCTGTGTCCATGCATACCACTGTGATGTCTTCCGTCTATACAGGTTTGAAACCAAATCTTTGTATTTCTTTTTTTTTTTCATTTTCAATATCTTCCACTAGCTTTAAATAATTTGGCATCTCCAAGTACATTCGGTCGATCATGACGACCATGTAGAATAGACATAAATATCGGCAAATGCTTACTTATTGGCAATTAAGCTTCGAAATTTCCTAAAATTTTCGCCCCGTTCAATATTATGATTCGTGTATAAGATAATGGATCACTTATAATTGAATGATTAGTTTCAATAGTTTGTTGAAGAGTTCTTTGGATATATGTAATCCAGAAAACAGCCACAGATCTTCAAGATGAAAAAGGCAGTTTGATTCCAATGAAATGCGACCTTACCAAAACGGAAGAGATCGAGTCCATGTTTCAAAAAATCAAGGAACAGTTGGGTGGTGTCGATGTTTGTGTTAACAACGCTGGTGTTGACCTATTTTTGGATTGCAAGACAGGGTCTTTATCTGACACCAAGACAATGTATGAAGTGAGAGAACCCACATTTTTTCCGTAGCATCGTTTTTTCCCGTTTATCTTTTAGAGTCAGAACTCGGGTCAAAATGATGTCTGTAATGATGAAATTTATTTGGAAAAGCAGAACTTTTTATGATATATTCTGAATCTATATCCCGGGGGAAATAACTTTTCGGGTCACGTCTGTTCCTTAATTTTGAATTGTTACTTTTTATTTAGGAATATAGCATTAAGTTCTGTTGAGTATTCAAAATGTCCTGTTTAGAATATATTTGTTTTTGTCCACCCACAACCTTGTATTTCTTCGCAGGCTGTGTATTACCAGAGCTTTAAGTTCAGGTACATGTCATAGTTCATGTATATGTGCTCAGTGAGTAAATGTTTGACAAATATCTAATTCAGTGCCGAGCCATTCTCTTCACGAACAAAACTTTTCTTAGCTTAAAAGTAATACAATAATGCAACGTACAGCAAGGGCGAAAAAGTGATCCGCGGCTCAGATAAAAGTGATCACGACTTGTCATTTTATTTTTTGGTATACTTTTAACCACAGACGGCCTCTCGCATAAAGCTAAAGCGTTTTTTCAGTTGAATGTATTCGCTGCCATAACCGTTTCCCAACTGACCATTCAGTCCATACAAGAAAGGAACTTGAATGACGGGCACATCATTAATATGAGCAGGTAATACATTAGTCCCAAGCAAAATATACATATATCTTTATCATGTTTTTCAAGTAAATTGACTATTAGCTATTGAAAAGTTAAACAAATTGCATTCCAAAGATGTGACTCCTGGCTTGGAAAGACCCACTCGTACATTGTGCGAATGGGCAAAATTTTATTCTGCAAACGATTAAAACTTTTGCAGGCAAAAGTAGCTAATCGCCATTTCATACTGTTGAAATGGTTCTGGGAAACTAATCATGTTATTGTTTCTGACAAGTATACTCTATTTAATTACAGTGTATGTGAGAGCACGGTCCACGAGGACTCCTCATGTCACATGTATACCCCAACAAAGTGTGCCCTGAAGGCTTTCACAGAGGGTCTGCGACACGAGCTGAGAAAAGAGAAAACGAAAATACGGACGACGGTATGAGTGTGAGAGAGAGACCGAAAGAAATTTAGATGAAATGTATATTAAGGAGAAATTCCAGTCCAGTCGATAACTCCTTACATACACTAGTAGATAACTTAGCGGAGAAAATTAACAAAAGTTAAAGTGAGATATAATTGAGATACAAATGAGATGCAATTTTACAGTATTGGAATATATTTCCCATCTCTCACAACCCACGGATATCCGTAGATGGGCGGCTAGAATAATATTAATTCAGTGGTATTTATATAACATTTTGTTAATGTAACCCAATATTGAAATATTATGCTCTACTGTTAGATGATTAGTCCTGGATTGGTCGACACTCCGCAAGCAAGAGCAGACATGGACGACAACCTCTTCTGTCCGGAAACTGTAAGCTTCAATACAATGGAGAAGGCTTAATCCCTGGGTTTTGTGACAAACTTCTTCAATCACTTTAATACCCTTTGCCTTTCGCAAATAACAGGATTATGATACTAAATAAATCTAATAAGGATTCGAACAAAGGCTTTGGTAACGTTTTGGGTTTCAATGGACTTTAAGTGAATCGGACAAATTGAAATGTAAGCGAAGATACCGAGGATACTTTTCAGTCTTTTAATGTGCAAATCTTTTAATTAATTAATCAATTCAACTAGTGTCCTGTATGTTACTTTCTATATGTCACCCAGCCCTTGGGGCTTAATATAAGAGACTTAAAGTGCTGTTAAATTGTCATTGTCTTATGGTAAATATTTTGGTTAACGTTTCTGTCACTTAATTTTTCTTAATTTTTTAAAATCCTTTAATTACCAATTTTAATATCTAATATATATATATATCAAGATACACCTTTAAATATCATGCATCTTTTATAATATCATTTCCCGCTAGTGTCTTCAACCAGACGATGTCGCTGCCGCCGTGACCTTTGCCCTCAGTGCCCCGCCATGTGTTAACGTAAGACAATCTATCATTCACTTTGCATTCAATACTTTTTATTAAAACACTTTAACTGATTACTGTTAGAGTCAGATGAAAAAACTTTGTCGTGAATCTTGTCCTTTTACTTGTTGGGTATTCTGAACACAAGTCCAATAGGACATTTATTTCTTTACTTTTTGAATGATAAAATAACCATTTGCTCTCTCAAATGTTGAACCCGGTGTGGAATTTGCTACGTCAGTGGAGCAACCATTTATTACACTGTAACGACTTTATTTTCTAGGTCCGGCATATTTGCCTCCATGCGATACACGACTCGTTTTAAACTATGACCAACTGCCGCTGCCAGCTTTTTATGCTCTCCAAATGCACGCCTTTTAATTGGGGAAATACCTTGTATTTGATTTATAATTATTTTTCATACAACTCAAAAAGCGAAAAAAACTTTTAGAAGTGTGTATAGTTCAAGATATGTTGATTGTGAATGTTCACTTAAAGGCAGAAATAATTGGATTTAAAATGCATTCTACCTATTTCAACTTATGGTGTGTAACTTTTAATTAAATTCCGGTAACATTTGGTTGAGTTATGAGCAATTATGTAAAACGGCCCCATCTTGCAATTTGAATGAAAATACAAAATGGCGCGAAAGTTAGAAAAATCGATAAAAAATACTGTGGCCTTTAAATAATATGTGAACAGTTAAACAAACAAACCCACAAATAAGCGCAAACTTGTCGAACACAGTTCTGTATGTGTTGCTGATAATAATACCTACATTTAAGTGGAACACTCTAATTTTAGTGTAGCGTCGGCTTGTGAGACTTTCAAGTTCAACTATGTCTAATTGACTTGTTACATTAGTTGCACATATAGGTATATACATGTCATGTATCATCCAACTGTAAGAACTGATATCGCCAAGTATTTTTTCGGTCCAATTATTAATGTACAAACCACACGTGTATGTCGACACAATGTGGTTGGTACGCACACACCTCTCTCCCCGTTAAACAAATATTATCAGAGTTGCATTTACTTACGCATGCGCGCCCTCTCCAACGAATAAATAACCACCGCACTGAGAGACTTAATTCTTACCTTTGCTCCCATTGACACAATTCTTGGTAAGGCGTCAACACGGCTCTAGAGGGGTGCCTGTCACACAAAATTATACGTCATAAGATAAGTCTCATCTCGTGACAGTTTAATGTACCATTTAAAGTTGGCCCTCCTTTCTGAAAAGTCGCAAACAAAGTCAAGGTATATTAAGAAACAACCGCATTGAAGAAAAACGTCTCGGATCTAGCAGAGATCTAAAAAGAGGGAATTCGAAGGAGAATGTTTGAAGGCAATAAAACGCAGGCTATCTTCCAATTGTGCCATTGCCATACATAGGAGTCTAATGGTAAGGAACAGACTTAATAATAGATTTATATTGTACATGTATCACATAGAAGGATGTCACTGTTATGTTAAGCCCCCCTCTTCAATTTGTCCTATTTTCTCCTTAAATATTATCCAGCTAAAATGTCAATAAAGGTATTTTTCGTTTAGTTAAATAGTTACCTTTGCACCAAAAAAAGCAATTTTCAAAACCAAAAATACATGAAATACAGACACCTTGTTAAAATTGTCAGATAACGTAAATAAGCGACTGACAAAGGTTTTGGTTTCATATATTAATAGAGTGTAGGAATACAGCGATCGAAAAGAGAATAAACAAAATGATATTTAATTATCAACCGGTGTATTATTTGATTGGGAGGTAGTTTGATAATAGACTTCAATTCTAATATTGTATGCCCTTTTGTATACTTTTTTTTGCAAGGGAATTCGCATTTTGTGACTGCGTGCTTTCGTGTGTATGTGTGTGTGTGTATGTGTGTGTGTGTCGATCGTGTCGGTATGACTGATTTTTTAAAACTCCTTGACTGTCAATTCAAAAATGGTCCCGTTCGTTGCTTTACAATGACATTCGTATAGCTTTATTTATTAAACGCCCGTTCTAAATATAAATTATAGCTCAAGTCCTAGAGTCGAGATGTTATTAAATAAAATATGAACCCACCATAGAAGCCAAAGTTAATGTTCAACCTTTCCGCCATCTTGGGAACATCATGTGAGTACAAGCTGATATCACTGGTAAATATACAGTTTACAGATAGCACGAAGAAACTGGATAACTGACACACACAATAGGCGTACGCGTGATGGCACCACTGTTATAGGTAACAATGTCCATAGAAAAATAGAGTATTCAATTTAAATGTTGACAGTGATTTTAGCGTGGAAGCAAGTAGGCCCAGCAAATTATTTTAGACCATCTATACGAAGAATCAATATGGGGCGACAAGGTTTCAAGATTGATTGGTTTTTATTTGCTACATGTATTTACCAGAGATGCCCCTTCGTCCTATACTATCAATGCAATTCTGTCCCCTCATTAATGTGAGTTGCAATACCCGGCTACATGCAAAATTTTCCCCGTTTTGTCGACAGGGTAGATAACTTTTATGCTGATGTTTTAGTTGCCATATATTCAATACACCGTGTACGATGGTATAAACAAAATAATATTCAATCCACATCTTGCTTAATATTTGATAGATAGCTCGAGACAGGCTGATAATTAACTTCAGTTCTGATATTACATGAATATGTTCTTATTTAGATGCATTGCATATTTGGCTGCGTATTATTTGGATGAATTGCATAATCGCGAGCGGTCACAGTGATTTATTCTGCGTCTCATAATTTTGCTTACAATTAACTCAACGTAGTTTTTAGTGTATCGTCGGATTGTAAAACTTTCAAGTTTAACTATGTCTAACTGACTTGTTACATTAGTTGCACATATAGGTATATACAAGTCATGTATCATCCAACTGTAAGAACTGATATCGCCAAGTATTTTTTCGATCCAATCATTAATGTACAAACCACACGTGTATGCCGCTACAATGTGGTTGGTACGCACACACCTCTCTCCCCGTTAAACAAATATTATCAGAGTTGCATTTACTTACGCATGCGCGCCCTCTCCAACGAATAAATAACCACCACACTGAGAGACTTAATTCTTACCTTTGCTCCCATTGACACAATTCTTGGTAAGGCGTCAACACGGCTCTAGAGGGGTGCCTGTCACACAGAATTATACGTCATAAGATAAGACTCATCTCGAGACAGTTCAATGTGCCATTTAAAGGCGACCCTCCTTTCAGAAAAGTCGCAAACAAATCAGTAAGGTATATTAAGAAACAACCGCAATGAAGAAAAACGTCCCGGATCTAGCAGAGATCTAAAAAGAGGGAATTCGAAGAAGAATGTTTGAAGGCAATAAAACGCAGGCTATCTTCCAATTGTGCCATTGCCATACATAGGAGTCTAATGGTAAGGAACAAACTTAATAATAGATGTAAATTGTACATGTATCATATAGAAGGATGTCGCTATAATTTTAAGTCCCTATCTTCAAGTTGTCCTATTTTTTCCTTAAATATTATCCAGCTAAAATGTCAATAAAGGCATTTTTGGTTTAGTTAAATAGTTACATTTGTATCAAAAAAGCAATTTTCAAAAGCAAAAATACATGATATACAGACACCGTGTTAAAATTATCAGATTACGTAAATTAGCGACTGACAAAGGTTTTGGTTTCATGTATTCATAGAGTGTAGGAATACAGCGTTCGAAAATAGTATTATCGTAATGAAAATGATTAAAAGTACAGATATAAAGTTGTGATCGTAGTGAGATACATTGAACATTTTATAACTGATACAATATACATTTGCTAAGAGGTTAAACACTATAAGTAAGAGAGTTAAAGAGTACATATGTTGTTCAATAATAAAAAAAGGATAAGGGAGTATAGTTATCATTCCTTCGGGATGATACAATGAAAATCAGTATTAATAGAAATTGCGAACTATAAGGTCAAATATCATACCATTGCCTAATAAGAGAATGATTACATTTTGGGTAATGACGTGATGATGGAAAGTTATAGAAAAATGTATAACCATAGACATTGTGTAAGAGCTGAGGAATTATTACATTACCAAATAAGGTAATGTAGGAGAAAGACTTTGTGATACATCATGACATTGGAATGACGCTCTATAGGATAAAAGAGAATACATTGTAACTGGAAAATAAGAATATACTAATAAATATTTTAGGCTCCCAAAAAGATGTATGTCCTTCATTAATAGTACAGGCGAAATAGTGGTACTATAGTATAAACAAAATAATATTTAATTATCATCCTGTGTATTATTTGGTTGAGAGGTAGTTTGATAATGAACTTCAATTCTAATATTATATGCTCTTTTGTATACATTTTACGCAAGGGAATTCGTATTTTGTATTTTTGTATTTTGTGACGCGTGCTTTCGTGCGTGTGAGTGAGTGTGTGTGTGTGTGAGTGGGTATGACAGTTTTTAAACTCTTTGAATATCATTGCAAAAACGGCCATGTTCGTTGCTTTTCAATGACGTATAACTTTATATTTCAAATTATAGCTCAAGTCCCAGAGTCGAGACGTTATTAAATAAAATACAAGCTCACCATAGAAGCCAAGGTTAATGTTCAACCTGTCCGCCATCTTGGGAACATCATGTGAGTACGAGCTGATATCACTGGTAAATATACAGTTTACAGATAGCACGAAGAAACTTGATAACTGACACACAATAGGCGTGATGGCACCACTGTTATAGGTAACATTGTCCATAGAAAAATAGAATATCCAATTTAAATGTTGACAGTGATTTAAGCGAAGGAAGCAAGTAGGCCCAACAAATTATTTAAGACCATTTATACCAAGAATCAATATGGGGCGACAATGTTTGAAGATTTATTGGTTTTTATTTGCTATTTACCAGAGATGCCCCTTCGTCCTATACTATCAATGCAATTCTGTCCCCTCATTAATGTGAGTTGTAATACCCGGTTACATGCAAAATTTACCCCGTTTTGTCGAAAGGGTAGATAACTTTTATGTTGATGTTTTAGTTGCCATATATTCAATACACCGTGTACTATAGTATAAACAAAATTATATCCAATCCACATCTTGCTTAATTTTTGATAGAGAGCTCGAGACAAGCTGATAATTAACTTCAGTTCTGATAACATGAATATGTCCTTATTTAGATGCATTGCATATATGGTTGCGTGATATTTGGATGAATTGCATTATCGCGAGCGGTCACAGTGATTTATTCTGCGTGTCATGATTTTGCTTACAATTAACTCAACGTAGTTTTTAGTGTATCGTCGGCTTGTAAGACTTTCAAGTTCAACTATGTCTAACTGACTTGTTACATATAGGTATATACATTTCATGCATCATCCAACTGTAAGAACTGATATCGCCAAGTATTTTTTCGGTCCAATTATTAATGTACAAACCACACGTGTATGTCGCTACAATGTGGTTGGTACGCACACACCTCTCTCCCCGTAAAACATTATCAGAGTTGCATTTACTTACGCATGTGCGCCCTATCCAAGAAATAAATAACCACCACACTGAGAGACTTAATTCTTACCTTTGCTCCCATTGAAACAATTCTTGGTAAGGCGTCAACACGGCTCTAGAGGGGTGCCTGTCACACAAAATTATACGTCATAAGATAAGACTCATCTCGTGACAGTTCAATGTACCATTTAAAGGTGACCCTCCTTTCAGAAAAGTCGCAAACAAAGGTAAGGTTTATTAAGAAATAACCGCATTAAAGAAAAACGTCCCGGGTCTAGTAGAGATCTAAAAAGAGGGAATTCGAAGAAGAATGTTTGAAGGCAATAAAACGCAGGCTATCTTCCAATTGTGCCATCTGCCATACATAGGAGTATAATGGTAAGGGACAGAATTAACAATAGATTTATATTGTACATGTATCATAAAGAAGGATGCCGCTGTTATGTTAAGCCCCCCCCCCCCCTCTTCAAGTTGTCCTATTTTCTCCTTCAATATTCTCCAGCTAAAATGTCAATTAAGGTATTTTTGGTTTAGTTAAATAGTTACCTTTGCACCAAAAAGCAATTTTCAAAACCAAAAATACATGAAATACAGACACCTTGTTAAAATTGTCAGATAACGTAAATAAGCGACTGACAAAGGTTTTGGTTTCATATATTAAGAGAGTGTAGGAATACAGCGATCCAAAAGAGTATAAACAAAAATATTTAATTATCAACCTGTGTATTATTTGATTGGGAGGTAGTTTGATAATGAACTTCAATTCTAATATTGTATGCCCTTTTGTATACATTTTATGCAAGGGAATTCGTATTTTGTGACTGCGTGCTTTCGTGTGTGTGTGTGTGTGTGTCGTGTGGGTATGACTGATTTTTTTTAAACTCTTTGACTGTCATTTCAAAAATGGTCCCGTTGGTTGCTTTACAAAGACAGTCGTATAGCTTTATTTATCAAACGTCCGTTCTTATACACGGTAAATTATAGCTCAAGGCCCAGAGTCGAGATGCGCTTATTAAATAAAATTTAAACCCACCATAGAAGCCAAAGTTAATGTTCAACCTTTCCGCCATCTTGGGAACATCATGTGAGTACAAGCTGATATCACTGGTAAATATACAGTTTACAGATAGCACGAAGAAACTTGATAACTGACACACAATAGGCGTGATGGCACCACTGTTATAGGTAACATTGTCCATAGAAAAATAGAATATCCAATTTAAATATTGACAGTGATTTTAGCAAAGGAAGCAAGTAGGCCCAACAAATTATTTAAGACCATTTATACGAAGAACCAATATGAAAATTGATTGGTTTTAATTTGCTATTTACCAGAGATGCCCCTTCGTCCTATACTATCAATGCAATTCTGTCCCCTTATTAATGTGAGTTGCAATTATTTGATAAAAATCAACATAGGTATCTACACATTTCTATAGAATTCCATAAATTGGCGGCCATTTTGGATTTTTTGGCCAAACGGTAATTTTTTTCCGTGGGCTACGGCTTTTATTTGATTTAGTATGTCAAAAGGTACCCACATGCAAAATTTAGTGCTTTTATCCGCCGTGTCACGATTTTTTCCTTAAGCCTCCGGACTAAATCGCAAGCGGTCACAGTGATTTATTCTGCGTCTCATATTTTTGCTTACAATTAACTCAACGTAGTTTTTAGTGTATCGTCGGCTTGTAAGACTTTCAAGTTCAACTATGTCTAATTGACTTGTTACATATAGGTATATACATTTCATGCATCATCCAACTGTAAGAACTGATATCGCCAAGTATTTTTTCGATCCAATCATTAATGTACAAACCACACGTGTATGTCGCTACAATGTGGTTGGTACGCACACACCTCTCTCCCCGTTAAACAAATATTATCAGAGTTGCATTTACTTACGCATGCGCGCCCTATCCAAGAAATAAATAACCACCACACTGAGAGACTTAATTCTTACCTTTGCTCCCATTGAAACAATTCTTGGTAAGGCGTCAACACGGCTCTAGAGGGGTGCCTGTCACACAGAATTATACGTCATAAGATAAGACTCATCTCGAGACAGTTCAATGTACCATTTAAAGGTCAGGCCTACCCAACTACCAGACTCGGCACCTACGGATCCTGAATTAACCGGTATATCGGACCACACTACCCGTTTTCAAGGTGTGTGTCAGATTGCATTTCGGAGTATCAGACAGAACACCGACAGGATGAGCCCTGGCATGCTCGACTGTCACCTTGATTGGATAGTAAACGATTGTCGTAAAATCGCTATATGATTTTAAAACCGGGCGCATAAATTTGAAAGCCACCTAATACAATGCAAAAAAAGCCCTATCAAAAGTGGTTAAAACATTCAAACCGAATGTCGTAAAGTCCCCATTTACCCCCATAGAGACAATAAAATAGAGTATTCTAAAGTAAGAGTACAGTTTCAGGTTGTTCAGCCGAGCGTGGATGAGCCCGCAGTCGTGCTACAAAATTTCTTTTGGGGTATGATACTCCGAAATGCGATCTGACACACACCTTGAAAACGGGTAGCGTGGTCTGATATACCGGTTAATTCAGGATCCTTAGGTGCCGAGTCTGGTAGTTGGGTAGGCCTGAAGGTGACCCTCCTTTCAGAAAAGTCGCAAACAAAGGTAAGGTTAATTAAGAAATAACCGCATTAAAGAAAAACGTCCCGGGTCTAGTAGAGATCTAAAAAGAGGGAATTCGAAGAAGAATGTTTGAAGGCAATAAAACGCAGGCTATCTTCCAATTGTGCCATCTGCCATACATAGGAGTATAATGGTAAGGGACAGAATTAATAATAGATTTATATTGTACATGTATCATAAAGAAAGATGTCGCTGTTATGTTAAGCCCCCCTCTTCAAGTTGTCCTATTTTCTCCTTAAATATTATCCAGCTAAAATGTCAATAAAGGCATTTTTGGTTTAGATACATAGTAACCTTTGCACCAAAAAGCAATTTTCAAAACCAAAAATACATGAAATACAGACACCTTGTTAAAAATGTCAGATAACGTAAATAAGCGACTAACAAAGGTTTTGGTTTCATATATTAATAGAGTGTAGGAATATAGCGATCGAAAAAGAGTATAAACAAAATAATATATAATTATCAACCTGTGTATTATTTGATTGGGAGGTAGTTTGATAATATACTTCAATTTTTATATTGTATGCCCTTTTGTATACTTTTTTGCAAGGGAATTCGCGTTTTGTTACTGCGTGCTTTCGTGTGTGTGTGTGTGTGTATGTGTGTGTGTGTGTGTGTCGTGTGGGTATGACTGGTTTTTTAAACTCTTTGAATGTCATTTCAAAATGATCCAGTTGGTTGCTTTACAATGACAGTCGTATAGCTTTATTTATCAAACGTCCGTTCTTATACACGGTAAATTATAGCTCAAGTCCCAGAGTCGAGATGTTATTAAATAAAATAGAAACCCACCCTAGAAGCCAAAGTTTTAACATTAAAATGTTCAACCTTTCCGCCATCTTGGGAACATCATGTGCGTACGAGCTGATATCACTGGTAAATATACAGTTTACAGATAGCACGAAGAAACTGGATAACTGACACACACAATACGCGTGATGGCACCACTTAATGGCACAATTTAAATGTTGACAGTGGTTTAAGCGAAGGAAGCAAGTAGGCCCAACAAATTATCTAAGGCCATTTATACGAAGAATCAATATGAAGATCAATATGAAGATGGATTGATTTTTATTCGTAATTTACCAGAGATGGCCCTTCGTTCTAAACTACCAATGCAATTATGTCCCCTCATTAATGTGAGTTGTAATGCCCGATTACATGCAAAATTTGCCCCGTTTTGTCGACAGGGTAGATAGCTTTTATGCTGACATTTTAGTTGCCATGTATTCAATACACCGTGTACCATGGTATAAACACAATTATATTCAATCCACATCTTATTTTATATTTGATAGAGAGCTCGAGACAAGTTGATAATTAACTTCAGTTCTGATATAACCAGAATATGTCCTTCTTATTTAGATGCATTGCATATTTGGTTGCGTTTTATTTGGATGAACTGCATACTCGCGAGTGGCCTCTGTGATTTATTCTCCGTGTCATGATTTTGCTTACAATTAACTCAACGTAGTTAATTGTTTTATTTATAGCACAAGCACCATAATTGGCCCCGCTTTATGGAGATTTAGACAAGGGCGTTAGAGAGAACACCAGCCCGCAGCATACAAGCTAAAGTTAATGTTCTACCTATCGCGGACATCATACAGGTACAAACTGATATCACTGGTGAGTGTGCAGTTTAAAGATTACGAGAAGATACTTAATTATTAACACACATTTAAGATAAGGTCAAAAATAATAACAAGAATGCTTTTTAAAAAACACTGAATGATATTTACATCTATGACAGTGATTTCAGTGAGTAGGCCTAATTTGGGCAAGTAGTATTGTCGAAGCAAGTATTAACGCGCAAGTATATGTGAGAAACAAATATGGACCAACACGCACGATTAAAAAAATGGATTGTCTTTCTTGCCATTTAAAGGACTTGGTTTCCCAAAATTAGACACATTTTTATCATCTTCCCTAAAACATGTTTATTGCAATACTACGGTATACGGACTTAATTTGATATTTGGCCAGGTAAGTCAAAGTCCGAGATTGGGCAACATTGAAATATTATAAAATGGAGAAGTTGCACCTGAAATATATGAACAAGTACTCTGTGTACACTTGCAAATGCAAATGACGAAACACACACCATATAAACATTATCGTTATAACTTGTGGCGAAGGAAAATACGATACGGCGTATTATCATCGTGGGAATAACAAGTAAAACAATGAAAATAACAAATTAGTAGTAACACAAAATGAATTCGGAAACATTTACCTCGATAACCAGTTTGGTTGAAATTGTTTTAGTTATTTAAGCACAGTGCAGCCTGATAACCATGAGTGGATATAAGAAAAATTCGATTGTGTCGAAGCTCATTTAGAAACCTCTGACATTGATTCTACAGCATTTTGCATTTTATAGAAATCCAATTTTGTGAATCATATTTGATTTAAGATCCGTCCACCTCTACTAAGGAGGGGAACTGGTGTGTGTGTGTGTGTGTGTGTGTGAATGAAGGAGTGTTGCAATGTACTGGAAAACAATATATGTTGCACTCTCGGGAAATAAGTAATGGATGATTTGAGTGCGGGCTTTTCTCAGATGCCCCACATTAAATAATTAGTGCACTTCACACGCAAGACGCTAACTGTTGGGTTTTGATTTCGATATTGCAGAATCATGGCTTCCTATCCAATAACACTAGAGAACCAGATCAGGATACAAAAAAATTGGGAAGCTATTTGTGATGATCTTGATGTTAGGGATATATCTGAAAGACTCGTCACGACTGACGTGATAACTACCACACAGTGTAAAGACATCCTGCAGGAACCAACACGTTTGAAACAAAACGAAAAGTTGTTGAATCTTCTGCTTACTGGAGACAACCAGAACTTCGACCAACTTGTCTCATGTCTCCAGGAAGATTATGCGTGGCTCGTGACTGGGCTTCTGAACACATCGGTGACAGAGGAAGACAAACAAAAGCGAATAAGTAATTCCCAACTCTGTTTAACTCATTTGTAGTATTCCTATTCAGACGCACTGCAGTTATTATCACTTAAGTGCAACTAACGCAATCAGCTTAAATGCCCTACACGCCTTCTCCACCAGCTCAAGGAAAAGGGAAAGTCCGACAATTAAGCTGATTACATTAATTGCCCTTTAGCCAGAATCCCTGCAAACGGGGATCGACCCGGCTGGTTCGATGTCTGAATCTGAATGTTGTCATAAAGTATACCATATACTGTTGAAATCACATCCCCTAGTTTGTTGTGAAATCGAATAACGTCCCTGCCAAATTGTGTTGTTAAGCCTAATAATATGATACAAATATATTCAATTTGAACAATGTAATAGGCATTTTTTAAGCCTCGGTCACAACCGGACGCGCGGATTTTAGGATCGTACGTCCCCTGCGATTTTTGGGTGTTGCGGAGGCCGTGGAGGCCGCTTGCTCCTTCATTGCGTGCGACGTACGTCTTGCACAAAGCTCGTCTCTCTTGTTAACTACGTGCGAGGGGGAACAAGTTACGCTTGCGGTCTCGTTGTTCGCAGGCTATTCGTACAATCTTTTGGACATGCCCAGCATCATCCGTACGTGCTTACGGGCTGTCTTTGACCTCGAAATTGCGTAAGAAGGACATGCGTGGGAAGTGAGATTCTGCTCAAAATTTGGACGCAAGCAGCCCGTAAGAGCCCGTACGGCCGGTTGTGACCGAGGCTTCATACTGGCATATTTAGCTTGTCAGCGTTATTTCAATTACTAGGAGAAATGTGTCTAAATGTTTCTAAACCGCTTATCTGTGAGTATATAATCATAGGATGAGTGATATTTTCAGGATCCGTTCTGAAGACGTGCTCTATACCACAGCAACCGACGTGCTTTGTGGGACGCGGAGAAGATGTTAAGAAGATAACCGACATATTTCTTCAGGACATGCGTCGCCTTGCTGTAATAAAATCTTTCGGAGGCCAAGGTAAGACCGCTTTGGCAACTGTGATAGGCCACACATTTGTGTCAAAGTGGGGAATACGTTCAGTAATGGCTGACATGAAGAATGCTTCATTTGCAGATGATATTCCCTTGTCCCTTCTTCATGCTTTAAAATCATCAGCAGGTTTAAGCAGTGGTGCCACCAACGCTGATCGTCTAATAACCAAGGCCTGTCAAGAGATATCGTCGGACGGCAAAAAGATACTCATCATACTAGACAACTGTGAGAGTGCTCTTGAGGACAATACACAAAGCCATTTCTATACCATGCTACAGTGGTTGGTTACTAACTGTTACAACGCCTACATTTTATGTACAACTCGCCGTACAATTCAGTTACCAAACCAAGAGGTACATATTCACGATCTTGATTCTCTGACAGCGGATGAATCGTGCGACTTGTTGCAGTGGTATTCACAAAATCTGTGTCGTGAAGACGGCAAACACTTGGGTGCAAAATGTGGCTTTGTTGCACTTCTGCTTCATATTATTGGCTCCTTACTGCGCCAAGGTCAGAGAACAATTGATATAATCGAAGAGCTGGACTCAAAAACGATATTTGGCCTAAAACTTTCACCCTTAACTCCCGAACACCTAAACGCTGAAGTTTGTATTAACCTTTCTTATCAGCGATTGGGCCTGGAATTGCAAGAATCTGTTCAGATTCTGTCTCTTTTTCCAACAAGCTTTAATGCAGTTGATGCATTCAAACTCTTGACCAGGCATCAAGTTGGTCTTTCTATGTTTGATTGCATAACTTGTCTTCAAACCCTTTGTGACGCTTCGTTTCTGGGGCATGATGCAGCCAGCGGGACGTATACTATGCATAGTGTTATTCAGGCATTTGCTCAAAAACAGGCTTCCGAAGAAAATATGGATCATTTCAAACAGATATTCATGATGTATATGGAGCACAGAATAAATGAGATGTACGATTCTGCTGAAACAGAAAATGGCCTCAAGGCCTCCAAATTGTTTGAAAAAGAAAAAGATTTTTATCTGACATGCATTGATATTTTTGAGTCAATGCGACCAGTCTCAAAGAAAGTAACATGCAGCATTGCAATTAAATTGGCTTTCGGTCTAAGGCAGATAGGCAGGTTAGCCGATTCTCTAAGATGTTTCAAACTCGCCCTCGACACCACTATAGAGCACGGAGAACAAAGTAATCATTTTGACATGGCGTTCTTGTATTATAATATAGGTTATCTGCAGGCCGAACTTAGAAATGTATCTGCTTCCGTTGAGTATCTATCTAAAGCAAAAGACATGTGTGAGAAGCAGGATGGGCGCAGTAATTACAAAAATTATTGTAAATGTTGTTACCTTTTAATATTACAGCTGCAGGAATCAAAAGAAAATTATGCACGGTGCCTAGAAATACTAAAAAACTCTTTTGACAAGGCCGTTGCTCATCATGATTTAAGTATGAAATATCTTGCACAGGCCGGAATTTCAGGAATCAAAGCAAGACAAGGAGAGAAGGAGGCCGTTATGTCCACCTTGCATGGCATACTGAATGCAAAACCCTCAATAGATGGTAAGGAAGACGGAGTGGGTATGCTTGCTTTGAACGGGGCAGCCGTAGCTTTGAGTGTCATTGGGAAAAAAGAGGAATCTTTGTCATTACATAAACGGGCAGTTGCTCTTGCATACGACCGCTATGGTGAACATCCTGACACTGCTATTGCCCTCACGCATATGGGTTCTGACATGAATGATGCCGGATATGTAGATGGGGCCATAGATGCTCTTCGAAGAGCATTGTCTATGAGCAAAAAGACACTGGGAGAATACCACGAACAGACAGCTCAGACACATTACATGAATTAGCTCGTGCCATATCTGCACAGGGAAACCACGAAGAGGCTCTTAGTACATACCAGAGAGCCCTATGTAAAGAGGAGCAAGTGCTGGGCGAAAGCCGTATTACAGCTAATACACTGCATTGCATGGGTTCTGAAATGATAGATTTGGGTAATGCAGACGGTGCTCTGGATGTCCTTAAGAGAGCTCTGGCTATGAAGGAGAAGATACTGGGAGAATACCACGAACAGACAGCAGTCACAATAAATGATTTAGCTCGTGCCATATCTGCACAGGGAGACCACGAAGAGGCCCTTAGTACATACCAGAGAGCTCTTCGTATACTTGAACAAGTGCTGGGTGGAAGTCTCCTTACAACTTTAGTTCTGCATAATATGGGTCATGAAATGCTAGAATTGGACAATGCAGACGACGCTGTGGAAGTATTCAGGAGAGCTCTGGCCATGGAGGAGAAGATACTCGGAGAATATCACGAAAGCACAGCATTCACAATACATGAATTAGCTCGTGCCATATCTGCACAGGGAAAACACACAGAGGCCCTTAGTACATACCAGAGAGCTCTTCGTATAAGGGAGCAAGTGCTGGGTGAAAGTCAAAGTACAGCAAGTACACTGCATTGCATGGGTGTGGAAATGATGAAGATGGGCAATGCAGACGGTGCTGTGGATGTCCTGAGGAGAGCTCTAGCTATGAAGGAGAAAATACTGGGAGAATATCACGAACAGACAGCAGTCACAATACATGAATTAGCTCGTGCCATATCTGCACAGGGAAACCACGAAGAGGCTCTTAGTACGTACCGGAGAGCTCTTCGTATACAGGAGCAAGTGCTGGGTGAAAGCCAAAGTACAGCAGATACACTGCATTGCATGGGTCAGGAAATGATGAAGATGGGCAATGCAGACGGTGCTGTGGATGTCCTGAGGAGAGCTCTAGCTATGAAGGAGAAAATACTGGGAGAATATCACGAACAGACAGCAGTCACAATACATGAATTAGCTTGTGCCATATCTGCACAGGGAAACCACGCAGAGGCTCTTAATACGTATCAGAGAGCTCTTCGTATAAGGGAGCAAGTGCTGGGTGAAAGTCAAAGTACAGCCACTACACTGCATTGCATGGGTCAGGAAATGATGGAGATGGGCAATGCAGACGGCGCTGTGGATGTCCTTAGAAGAGCTCTGGCTATGGAGGAGAAGATACTGGGAGAATATCACGAACAGACAGCAGTCACAATACATGAATTAGCTCGTGCCATATCTGCACAGGGAAACCACGAAGAGGCTCTTAGTACGTACCGGAGAGCTCTTCGTATACAGGAGCAAGTTCTGGGTGAAAGCCAAAGTACAGCAAGTACACTGCATTGCATGGGTCAGGAAATGATGGAGATGGGCAATGCAGACGGTGCTGTGGATGTCCTGAGGAGAGCTCTAGCTATGAAGGAGAAAATACTGGGAGAATATCACGAACAGACAGCAACCACAATACATGAATTAGCTCGTGCCATATCTGCACAGGGAAACCACGAAGAGGCTCTTAGTACGTGCCGGAGAGCTTTTCGTATAAGGGAGCAAGTGCTGGGTGAAAGCCAAAGTACAGCAAGTACACTGCATTGCATGGGTCAGGAAATGATGGGGATGGGCAATGCAGACGGTGCTGTGGATGTCCTTAGAAGAGCTCTGGCTATGGAGGAGAAGATACTGGGAGAATATCACGAACATACAGCAGTCACAATACATGACTTAGCTGGTGCCATATCTGCACAGGGAAACCACGCAGAGGCTCTTAGTACGTACCGGAGAGCTCTTCGTATACAGGAGCAAGTGCTGGGTGAAAGCCAAAGTACTGCCTCTACACTTCATTGCATGGGTCAGGAAATGATGTTGATGGGCAATGCAGATGGTGCTGTGGATGTCCTGAGGAGAGCTCTGGCTATGGAGGAGAAAAAACTAGGCGAATATCACAAACAGACAGCAGCCACATGTACATGAATTAGCTCGTGCCATATCTGTACAGGGGAATCATGCAGATGCCCTCGGTACATACCAGAGAGCTCTTCTTATACAGGTGCAAGTGCTGGGTGAATGTCTCAGCACAGCCAAGACAATTCACAACATAGGTCAAGAATTGACAATAATGAATAAAAAAGACGAAGCCATCGTTGCTTTCGTAAGGGCGATAGTTATGGGGATGAAAACCACTGGAATAATACCTCACTCAGGCAGCAGTGACAAAACATGAGCTCCACAGCAATTATTAGAATGCAATTGTAACTGCTGTGTACGTTTAAGGACAGCTACAAGTGGTACACTACGAAAGGGCCATACTAGATAACATTTAATGATAAGTGGCTAACTACAGTACGTTACTACATGCGAAACTATATGAGAAATTAAGAGCGAGAATCCCTGTGAATCTGGGTTAACTTACAAGTGAAACTGTAAGCTGGGAATATATCTTAATTAAATAATACCCAAGTAATTGACTTGAGAAAAGTAACCAGTGTTTTTATGGCAACGGTTATTCGTTGTTGTAAAACACTCGCTAGTTTGTCATTATTTTTAACCTTATAATCTCCTCTAAATTCCACGAAATCTTGCATGATATTTTTTGAATTGATTGGTGAGACTGCAAGTTATTCTGCATAATGCCCGTTGAGAATGAAGCAAGCTGATTTTAGTGTAGCCATTGCGCACCACGTACAATGGTATCGGCCATAGCTGCCACACCTGGCACATGTACAAGCACGTGCATTGCGTTTATATCTTCAGGATGTTTTTCGATAAGCCATTAAATACAAAACGTTTCAAATATATTTTTCCCATAGAGTATATTATTTTTATTTTAATTAACATCTTAAATAAAGTAACGATTGAGCAAATAAAGCCAAATTAAATCTGTTTACGTTTTATTGTGGACTAATGACATTCAAATGCAGATTCACTGCGAAGCAGTTCCTTTAAATGACAGATATTCATAATTGCTGCTATTCTTCAGGGGCACTGTAAAGCTAACACATAAAAAGATATAGTGTGCAAGCTACCTTTATAGTGCCCTGAAACACAGGGTATAATGTCGTGAAAATGAGCAGTAACAACATTTTTAGTTATCAATTTTACTTCGCTTTGGCTAAAGTAGAAGGCTGCTCCAGTAACGCATGCTACATTAAAATAGAATAGAATAGAAATGCGGTAATGTGTTACTGCGGTGAAGCAGTATACCTCATTTCTTCTGAGATATTGTAAAGCTTGCATGGTTACAGAAGAATGCTACTTCTGTGGAATATATACCCCATCCATACCTTAAATCAGAGCAGATTTGAGGTATGGTTTCAGTGTGATTGCAGTAGGTCTACTGAGCTGGACTATAACTACCTACTGCGTGTTCGTGTGGGGTTATTTAAGAACATACAAATGAGTTGAAATAATCCGTTTTCCAAAAATCAGACGGTATGAATTTCAAGTAAATCTAGACAAATGACCGTAAAAGTTAATTCTACCAATATCGGTCCATTTCTTGTCTAAACGGTAAAAAAAATGTTTACACAGGGCAAAACCAAGATCATCTTCATGTTATTATATCAAGCAAAATTGGATGTACATGACCCCTCTTTTTCTTTAATAAAGCATCTATAGTTCCTTCACTGTATTTAAATTGGCGTACAAATCACTCAATTAACGATTTATTTGGTTCATTACTATTATACCCCTCCCCCTTAAAAGATAATCTGCAGTTGGATATCCACGTTACCAGTATAAAAAAAATTCAATGCTACCCAGTACATAAATGTGTGTTGTTTCATATATTTATATTGCATTTAATCTCGCAATACATAGCCCTGTCCATTTAATTCCACATACGTGAATGCTTCCCAGGGTATTCCTTAGACTATCTAAAGCACGGTCATCTAGATCTGCGTGTCTTTAACAGGAGAATGTTACGTTTTAACTACAATTAATAGGTTTAAACAAAGAAAACTTCCTTCGGGTCAGTTTTAAAACATTTCTGACACCAAAAATTACTTTCTTTTCTTCACGACGATCTTCTGAGGTTTAGGTACACAGGCAAATTCTGCCATTGCAGGCTCGAAGTCTGGCTTTTGTCCGTGTGGAAAGCTCACCTCAAACCGACTGAAAAACAATGCCTGTAAACAAAATGTACTTAAGAATTGGAAAATAAATTAATAAAATTAATATACAAATATTAATACTATACATGACTTAGAATGCAGTTAATGCCTTCAAAATAAAATATAGGTACCAGTATATATTCAAACATTCAGGAAATTAAATTGGTAAATTGGATTTTTTGATATAAAAAAGTGTTTCAAAATGTCACCGCTATGATTATAAAACCTTATGAATAATAATCTTGATTTCAATGTTATATATTGATTTCTGATAAGGTCACCATAAACATAAACGTTCATTCTTATAGCAAACAGCAAACAGCAAAATGGTAAAAATGATACTGAAAGTATCGAAACTACCAGAACAATGTATGTCTGAAATTTTGTATATTGAGCGCACACAGTAATCATATCAAAACATCAGTATATACACTATTGTTTTCTTTTCCACCCACCGAAATCATCATAATGTTTGCCCTGGCAACTGATTCTCCCACACACTTCCTTTTGCCACTACTGAACGGAATCCATATTTTGTTGTCAACCTCTTTCAAGCTGCCGTCATTGTTAATAAACCTCTCTGGCTTGAAAATCTCCGGTGACTCCCAGTTTTTCGGGTCATGGTGGATTGCCATTATGTTTGCATAAATCACAGTGCCTTTGGGGATATCGCACGCACCTACATGTAGATGGGAATAAACATTTATGAACAATGTCAAAAATCGGATGCCAGATAATTGTAAAAAGCTATCTTCATATAACATCGAACACATGCTAATACTGCACGTATATGGAATACAAAATGTGCCGCTATCGAGCAACATTCATTTTAAGTATGTAAGGGACCATTCCCACATATATGTGGGCCGATCTATCTCTCTGGGGAGTCTCACTATATTGCTGTCATCTTAACCGGCTTAAATGTCTGTCACTCCTAGTAAAGTTGTTCGGGGGTAATTATCTTTACCCCCTAGCTAATTCGGTAGTCCTGACAGACATTTAAGCCGGTTAAGTCTCAACAATTAAGGGAGGTAGACCGATCCAGATGGATCGACCTATTCTAAGTAACAGGAATAGCAATTCAACTGCAATCGAAGCTGCTTTGGTGATTTTGTTCGGTTCGATTATAACGTACAATGTTTAAGCAACATATTTGTTTACAATTTTGCATTTAATTGGAGATCATAGAGGGATTATGTCTGACCAAGTTTGGTGTCACAGAGTGCTTGATGACCTACAGCTACTGGAGCAACAGGGCGCATGCGCAAAACCTCTCGCTGAACAGCCTCACTGTAAGGCAACTTATGTCTGCAGTGACGAAGTCCACTGATGTCGTTCCCTGAAAAGAGATACATGAAAGCATTTTATATGATTGTTATCATTTTTACATGATTCAATAATTGAATCAAAGATGATCACAGCAATATTTAAGAGTCCAGAAAATAGACAACATTTTCTAGATTTCTGAAATTAGGCCTAATTGCCAAACATTTGCATTCATATATTTTTATAAATAGTATATAGAAGAGTAGATTTGAACTGTTTATACCTAAGGCGTCTAACTCCTTGTGTAGTTTTGACTGAACCTCCGGATTATCGGCTACATACATAATCATCCACTTCAACGTGTCAACCGTGGTCTGCGTTCCAGCTAAATGTAGAAACCACTACCGCTCAATATATATATATATATATATATATATATATATATATATATATATATATATATATATATATATATATTGAGCGGTACATGCTTTATGTTTAAAAATACTATTTATGAAAAGAGCACCAATCGCACTGTCATGCAGTAACAAATAAATTATAAGAATACTACATCGCACATGTATCAAGTGAGTAATTAACTGGAATGATCAAGTCACTATACCAAAGAATATATCCAGTAAGGTGTGACGTATGCGAGTGTCAGTAAGCGACTCCTTTGCGTTCTCATCACTCTCGGTTCCCAATTCTTCTTTCAGTAGCAGAATTTGATCCGTAATATCTCTAGGGTTACCTTTGAAATAAAATGTTGTCATAATCTAAGCACAGAACACTACTAACTAAATCATTGATATGCTGCTTGTATATTCACAAATGAAAGGCATAAATCAAAATAACTTTTATTTATCAATTCCGTGAAAGGCTCAGTGCAACAGCGTCGTTAGTGATCCTACAGTTGTATAAGGTGTGAAATGTAAATAAACTACGGTACAGGTACAAACCCGAGTTCAATGTTGTCTTGTGCTCTGCCAATTTGACATTTTGGAAGTCGGTCAGTTTCTTTATGAGTCGTTTCACCGAGAGGGATGAGGAGATAGGAAAATGCTTCAAGACGGGGATGACGTCAGAGGGAATGACACTTCCAAATACCGTTTCCATGGTTTTGTCCACGGTGCTCTTCAGCCAAACGAACTCCGGTTCGTCAATTTTATAGCTAAAAGGATTAGATCAAACTGTATGCATTATATGTATGCTTAATATGTATATTGATCGCTATAGTCTTCGGGCAAATATGCCCTCATTGGTTTCTATGCCCTATTCAGACCATGTTTAATCAAGGTGTAGTGATGGAAAGGTTTGAAAGTGATTTCCATTTTTTAAATATAAATCAACCTTTGTTGCTGTACTAACCCATTAATTTATTCTATTTTTTTTATTTGATTTTTTTTTCAAAAAAAAATGTTGAAATATATATTTGTATATTTGGGAATAATAAAAAAATAAAAGATTTATAATTATATTTGCCACATGATCCTCAACAAGTACTGATAGACTGAAGGTCATATTCAGAATGGGTAAAAAAAGAAAAAGATGTAGAAAATAATGAAAGTACCATAAAACAACTTATTATTGCCAAGTGATTACAGTAATTAGGGTTTGTAATTTTCTCCGTTATATCTAAATGAAAATTCTCCAATAATCATTCATCAGGTGTGTTTCTTGTATGTTATCAAAACGAAATAAAATTTTATCTTAATTTACCCATTCATCTACAACAAATATTTTAATTCTTCTTTGGATCAATAACTGATTTATTAATATGATTCAAAGGCCGATAATCAATTATTGTTTACATGATAATATTGAATGAATATAATGAGTAAAAAAGGGATCTGCATGTAAGCCGAAGTCATGATTTTTGCTATAGCAAAAGTTATTTCATATTCCTTCGATTGGGGAGTGAAGTTCCGTTTATATTCATATTTTCATTGTTAAAACAAGAAATCACTGGACTCTCCTGCAGAACAGTATTCCCAAATTTTATGGCACCCACCTTTTTCCGTAAGCCATTCTACAGACGATGTTGAAGATAAGTAACTGAAAGTGAGGATCTATGTCAAAAGGCTCAGTCTCCCTTTCAATCAAGGTGGCAACTTCATCAAAAGCAGACCTAGCAAATGTTTCCAATTTATCATTCGCTAAGTAGGCCCTGTATGATAAAATAATAATGCAATGCAATATCATCATGTTGTATTATTTCTGTACGGGTACATTAATTATAAAGACCATCTTAAATATGATAAAAATGCGGGCATCAAAATTTCAACATGGCGCCGGTCTTATGAGCACTCTTTCCGCTGAGAATATGCATCATATTTTGCTTTGTATTCATAAATTTAGGACATTTTGACATTGCACACGTAAAAATCACGAGGGAAGAGTTCACAGAGCTGTGATCCTGAATCGGCGGTTAAACAGCGACGACATGAAAGCGTCCCTCGTGTCCCTACCCTAATGTGAAGCAGCAAAACGGACTGGTATGTTTGTGTCCCAGATTTAAGAGTCATTTTCGGCTAAGAATTAAAGTTTAAATGTTTGAAAACAAAACAAAATTGTTCGTTATAATAAGATAACTCCACCCCCTTTCATTTGAAAGCAACCCCAACGTACACATTCCAACACATAGGAATATTTTGACAGACTTTCAAAACTGATAAGCAGTTGTTGCTATATATAAAATTATATTAAATTTTTATCTTAATTTACCCGTATATATATATATATATATATATATATATATATATATATATATATATATATGAATAACCTAAGCACATATATATATAATAAAAAAGAAAGTATTAGAATTAATACTATATTCCATGAAATAACATTTTGTGGGGCCTGTTATCATTTTAACTGATGCAAATTTGAAAAATTGATAAAGAAGGAAAAAAAACTTGGCACACAGGATGACTAAACTTTGAATGGAACGATGCACTAATGGAGTTTGTTTTCAGTCAATGGTGCAAATATTTTCGTGTTTGCAAGTTTATTGGTAAAATACAGACTTGACATTTAATATGGAATATTTTTCCAAATCATTTTTCATCAGTTTTGTCCTATTTTGCTGACTGATAAATGAAAACAAGGATTAAAATCGTGTTTTAATAACTTTGAATTATCTTTTTGATGTCATTTTGAAATCAGTTCTGGAATTAGCCAGAGAAGCAAACAAAAGCACATTGGCTTTTCTATGTCATACGAGAACCATTAACAGAGATATTTTGGATCTCCATATTTCCAAATTATTGTCTGTAAATAGTATTTTGGATAAGTTTAGTGGAAATAAGGTTCTTAGCCAATGCCTAATAAAGTCATGTTCCACGGTAAAGTCAACATGACAATGGAAAATTTCTGGAAATCACGCTATAAACAATAAAAAGAACATAATTACACGCGTGATCAGTACGGAGGATTAGAGTATAAATACGGGTAAAATTGTAAGAAACGTGATTGGTGAATAAATAATTGGAGACTCCAGAACGTCGTTGTTGTTACAATAGTTCATTTAGAAATGGAATAAGTTAATATAAGCGGGTTAAAATCTATTAGGAACATTATTCAACAGTGATTTGTGAAACCAATAATTCGATCAAATTACCTGAATGCCTTTAGAGCCATCTGTCTCTGTAGTCTCCACACTGGACCATAGTCACTGAAAATTATATCTTTGTTTCCTCCGCTGAACACTTTGACTGTCAAAAAGTATGATAACAACCATATGATTAAATTTACAAAAATGTATTAGAAACACCCCCCTGCTCTCAATATTGCAAGATCCCCCCACTTGTAATTTTGCATGGATATTAAGCCGCATTTTTGAATACCTCTAAATGACCAGTATTGTCTCATCTCCTATCAACATGATATCTCAACTTGTGCTTATTTAACTGATACCTACATTTCCAAGTTATATTTTCCCTCCCTGCAAATATTTCCTTCTTCTCAACAAAAGCCTCTTGTATTATATCCGCAGATTTCAGGACAACGACGCTGTGCCAAAAACCTGTAACCGTCAACCGTATGTATATACTGCATACTGTTTATCGTGCTGATGTGCAAAAGAGCAAGCTTTTATGAACGAACTAACGAGGCATACATGTACCATCCTCATATTTTTATTTAAGTTTTGTGTAAAAAGAAACACCTTCCGGAAAAGCTCACCTGAGCCGATTAAAGAATAAGCATCGAGTTTTGCCTAACTGCTTTTAAGCATTAAATTTATTTTATTAAGTTAAAATCCTTGATGATACTACTGCGGAAAAGAGAATTACAAGCGTTTACCTAAATCAACGGTGAACAAGTCACTAAATGAATTTCCGAGTTTTGTAAATACGGAGTACAGTCGGCCATCTTTCCTAAATTCTGCAATAATTAATTAATAAGTAAATATTATATAAAATGATATTTAAATGTGATATATAAACAAAGTTATAAGTTACAACCAAATTGATTTCCTGTTTTCTAAAAACTGTTGAAAATGTACCAAAATCAATTTTTTGAAAATCATTTACATAGAGTTGCTGTCAAAACGTTTTCAAAGAAGCTCTGACCAAAGTAACTCCCAAGTATCGGCAGCTGTGGCGGTCCTGGCGGCAGTTTGAACTTCTTCCTCTGTAGATATGTCATCACCAACAGGAATACCGCCATCCCGACCAAGATGGTCTTCACGGTTAGTAAACTCAACAAACTCAAGACGAACATCGTTCCTGAAATATTTATTTTGATTCATCGGATGATTTTAAAGATTATATTTATAATGATGAATAATATAATGTTCATAATGAAAAAAAAAAAAAAAAAAAAAAAAAAAAACAGAAATCAACTCCATATTCTACGTTTTTTAATACCATATGTTAGTCTCACCTAATGTTAATATCTTAGTCTCTGTTCAAGTTTACTTGTTCACACGTTTGTCATTGTTGGAAATATATATTCTTCAACATTTAAATTCATTCAAAGTTTGAGATATTTTATTCATTTATACAAACCCTATTCTACCCTCCTTACTTGCCGTTCCTTCCAGGATACGTCTCTCTTTTACAGCTTTCAAACACCTGTTTGCAGCGTCCCCCTAACTGCACTCCAGTATCATTCAACCCAGTTCTGGGGCTTGGCCTCCAGTCATTTAGATAACCTACACGTCAATACACACAAAGTTCGTCTGTGACAAGTGTCATTAAATGGGGTGATTACACTGTACTTATCCAAGGCATTACTTTTCAGCATGCGTGCACTAGTTGAATCAATATATGGACCACTGCAGCAACGTTCAACGGTGGGATTTTTCAGATTGTCAAGTCAGGATCTTTGGCTTTAAGATAGTCAGAAAAGCTACAAGTTTATCAATACAAAGTTTGTTTGCGGCATTTTCGTGTCATTATATGGGCTGCTTCCTCATCCAAGAAATGGCCTTCGAGTATGCAAGCACTTGTTGGTTGGAAAAGTGGCCACGTATTATGACATTTTCAGATTGTCTGTGTTTTTTATATGCTTACAGCTCCGAAGCTATATTTATCTATGCGTTTTTTTATAGTTATGATAGTTTAAATAATATTTAATTATCACTATTATCATTTATTGATATTATCTCACAGCGTATAAAACACAGGGAAAACAAAAATGACCATACAGAAGTGTCCTATGAAAAACAGCAACAACAACCAAAAATAAATAAATAAATAAATAAATAAATAAATAAAAATAAATAAAATAAAATAAAATAAAAAATAACACTTACACGCTTGTCATATAAAACTCTGATGACCTGAAATTGACGGAATGCTTTAAGGGAGATCATTGAGTTAGGATATTTTTATACTCTTAGATAAGACGAACATAAACATGCTAAACATTGGGATTTGCTAATTTCAGTAGATGACGGTACAGCGGTATTTTTTGTGTTGAGATGTGTGCTTTTGATTTCAAAAAGAATGAATCTTTTACATTGAAGTAATTGGAAGAAATCATTTTGCCAAATGTTTATGTAAAAATGTAAAAATGGTCAATGTTTTACTTTGAATAACTATTACCAAAGCAAACCAGTACCCATGCTGCAAATGCCATATCCTTGTTCTATTTCAACGCAAACTGAAACACACACGTACTCCATCCGTTTGCCAAATTTGTTAACTCGGGTGCGATTAGTTTGTATCGCTGCAAATAATAGCCTCGAAACTAATGGTGATTTCGCTGATTTCGCAATTCTAAAATATATATAATATTTAGGATAATGAAATACGTTTTCAAGAAGATTAAATAATTTTTTTGTGTCCATAAAAATAATCAGTGGGCAATATACAGCTTGCTGCATACAACTGCGCTATCCTTTGTTGAAGGGCTCTTTGAATATCTTTATTCCAGAAAACAGCCGCGATTTGTGAGGCTTTCGAGATATGGGGTAACGAGGAATCGCCATCCTTGCGCCCGCTCGCCATAAGCGAAGCTTTCGAGATACGGGGCCCAGGTTGGCCGTAAGCTAACGGCATAAATCTTTCGGCTTGTGTTTGATAATTTTCATTTATGATCCATCCAAGCTAATAAGCATTTTTGCTCAACATGTTTGTCCCTTTGTTAGTACGCATGAACAGGCTTCCTTTTCTGCTGAAGTGGGCCCTCTTGTTCAAGATGTTTTGTAGTTTTATGGTCATGTTTCACCTGGATCTATAACTGTATCTTTGGCACGTCTCGATCACCAAAGAAAGGATGTGACGGCTGATGGTCAATAGCAAAATTCGATATTCAAAATTTTATTAAAACGGTACTCTGGCTAAATATAAGTAGGATACTGTAATTAAGGTCTTCTTAAAAATATTGTCACAGCAAGCACATCCACATCAGGGACACGTACCATATTTGAAATATCTGTTCTATTTTTAAATATCACTGTTCTGTAGAAGCCTTTACGCTTTTTAACCAACGTGAAATGCTACAGGTGTTGACCCAGATACATGTATCATATGAGGAATGGTAAATACGCTGCAGCAAAGACTCCAGTGCACCGGAAGTGGCAATCTACACAGTTTGAAGGTATTTTGGTGGCCCATGGTCATTACGATATGATATTCTATTTCAATAATTTCACTCCCTGTTTGTTGACGATACTAAGAACGAAATGTAGAGGTATTTTGGTGGTCCTTGGTCATCAGATGTGATATTCTATTTCAGTTTTTACGCCCCCTGTTTACGATACTAAGAATGAAATGTTGAACCAATAAGTTCTCTTATGTGTGCATATGTGTGTTAGATGTAGGTGTTTGTCAGGTCTAGCTCTCTCTCTCTCTCTCTCTCTCTCTCTCTGTTTGTGTGTAATACGCGTAATACGCGTTGTGACCACCTCCTACTCCCTGTCACCCTCTCGTTTCGTTCCTGGGGGTTGTTGGGTATTTGGATTAAAGTGATTGCAGTACGATGTATGTTTTAGATATGGATCGCTGGACAGGTCGCGTTGCCTTGGTAACAGGAGCATCGAAAGGCATAGGAGCAGCCATTGCTCGTGCTCTGGTTAAGGATGGCATGGTGGTGGTTGGCTGTGCCAGACACGTCGAAGATATGCAAGTATGGTTCAATTTGATATTTCCTTGGCATATATATATATATATATATATATATATATATATATATATATATATATATATATATATATATATATATATATAATAACATCAGTAAACGTTGAATGTAATGTTATAAAGTGTCACTGTGCAATTCTAAAATATATATAATATTTAGGACAATGAAATACGTTTTCAAGAAGATTAAATAAATGTTTCGTGTCCATAAAAATAATCAGTGGGCAATATGCAGCTTGCTGCATACCACTGCGTATCCTTTGTTGAAGGGTTCTTTGAATACCTTTATTCCAGAAAACAGCCGCAGATCTACAAGATGAAAAGGGTCGTTTGATTCCCATGATGTGCGACCTCACTAAAACGGAAGAGATCGAGTCCATGTTTCAAAAAATCAAGGAACAGTTGGGTGGTGTCGATGTTTGTGTTAATAACGCTGGTGTTGACCTGTGTCAGGATTGCAAGACAGGGTCTTTATCTGATACCAAGACAATGTATGATGTAAGACAACTCTTATATATTCTTGCTTTAAGATTCTCTTACCCCTTTATCTTTAAGCACTAGAACTAGGGTCAAAATGGCGTTCGTAATGCTGAAAAATATTTTTCGCAGCAAAACAGAACTTTTCATGATATATTCTGAATCTATATCCCGGGGAAATGTTTTTTTTTCCGGCTTACGTCTGTTCCTTAATTTTGAACATCAAGTGTTTATTTAGGAATATGGGATTTAAGTTCTGTTGAGTATTCAAAATTTCTTGTTTAAAATGTGTTTGTTCTATTTCTCAATTACAATTACTGCATCCACACAATCCTTGTATTTCTTCGCAAGCGGTGTATTACCAGAGCGTCAAGGGTACATATAATAGCTTATGTGTATATGCTAAGTGGGGAAATATGTGCCAAATACATGTATCGAACTGAGGGGCAAGCCGTGCTCTGCATGATCAAAGCTTTTCTTATCTGTTTAGTTGATAATTAAAAAACAATACAATAATGCAATGGGCAGCAAGTACGGAAAATGATCAGCAACTCTAGAAAAATGATCGCGACTAGTCGATTTATTTCCTGATATACTTTAAACCAGGGGCGGCCTCTCAGATAAAGCTAAAGCGTTCTTTTTTCAGTTGAATGTATTCGCTGCCATAACCGTTTCCCAGCTGACCATTAAGTCCATACAAGAAAGGGAGAGAGATGACGGGCACATTATCAACATCGGCAGGTAATGCATTGGTTTCAGACAGAATATACTTGTATCTTTACCATGTTTCCCAAGTAAGCTGACTATTAGCTATTGAAAAATTAAATAAATTACATCGAGTTGTTACATCTGGCTTGGAAAACGCATTTGGCATACTCATATAATGTCGAGAATGGGCCCAAATTCGTTCTCCAAACGGTTAAAACTCCCATAACATTGTGTGGTTGCCGGCAAAAGTAGCTACTCGATGCCATTTCACAGTGTTGAAATGGTCCTGGGAAATTATCATCTTTTCTGACAAGTATACCCTACTTAATTACAGTGTATGTGAAAGCACGGTCCACGTGGACTTGCCATGTCACATGTATACCCCAACAAAGTTTGCACTGAAGGCTTTCACAGAGGGTCTGAGACACGAGCTGAGAAAAGAGAAAACGAAAATACGGACAACGGTATTAGAGAGAGAGAGAGAGAGAGAGAGAGAGAGAAAGAGAGAGATGCATTTAATATCTTAAGAAATTACAGCCCAGTCTTTTTTTCACTTTTAATTAAGACAAACATAAGTCAGATGAACCGAAAGAATAATGCATTTTTTTACGGTATTGAGATCGCTTATGAATATTCCGCCTCTAGAAAAATCATATAGGTGGTCAGATATCTCATTTTAGAAGAATTTTTATAGCATTTTATTAATGTAACCCAACATTGTTATCTTGCTGCTGAAATGTTATGCTCGACATTTAGGTTATTAGCCCTGCATTGGTGGACACTCCGCAATCTAGAGAAGACATGGATGACAGCTTCTTCTGTCCGGAAACTGTAAGCTACAGTCAAATGTTTTAGGCTTATAATCTCTCAGTTTTGTGGCAAACTTCTTCTATCATTCCTTCCGTTTGCTTTTTGCATATAACAGAAATTATGAATGGAATAAGGATTCTGACAAAGTTTTTGGTAACGTTTTGGTCTTAATGGATTTAAAGTGTATAGGGCATTGGAATTTAAGTGAAAATACAGAGGGGTTGGTATGTAAAAAGGCCTTTTTGTCACATTTAATAAATCACCTAGCACTTCCAGCTGAATGAAAGACACTTTAAATGTTGTTAATACGCCACTGTCTTATAGAAACTATTTTGGTTTACGTTTTCGTCATTCAGCTAATTTTTCTCCATAATAATTTTTTCAATGTAATGTCATTTCACAATAGTGTCTTCAACCGGACGATGTCGCTGCCGCTGTGACCTTTGCCCTCAGTGCCCCGCCATGTGTTAACGTGAGAATAATTTTCACTTTTGTGGTTACAATTAGATTCAGACAAGATACCCACTTCTTTAAATGAATAGTAAACGTGATAGGGCTTTTGACTATTTTCATGAATCTTCACATTTGCGTGTTAGGTATTCTGAATACAAGTCCCAGGGGACTTAAACTTCTTTATAATTGAATGTTGAAATAACTATTTGCTGTCTCAAAGATGGAATCTGTTGTTGCTTTCTCCCATATGTCCATGCGTTAGAAGCTTCAATGAAGCAATCATTTATTACATTGTAACAACTTTCTTTTCCAGGTCCGCCATATTTGCCTACACGCCATACACGACCCATATTAACTCAGGGCAACTGCCGCTGCCAGCTTGTCACTTCTTCGAAAAGCATGACTTATTGGATGGGGAAAACACCTTGTTCTTCATTTGTTATTCCTTTGCATTCTACACCAAACGATTTGTATATATTTTGTGTAGTGCGAGAGCTTTTAGCAGAGAAAATACCTTGTACGAGGCGAAAAAAGATATTTCGTTGGTTCCTATTTTACCCCCGCCAAGGAGGTTATGTTTTCACCCCTGTCTGTCTGTCTGTTATCAACATAACTCAAAAAGTTATGAACCGATCTTGACGAAATCTCCAGGAACTGTCTGAAGTGGGCCAAGAAATAGATGATAAGTTTTTGGTGGTGATCCGGATCAATAACCAATCAATAATCAATAAGCAACTTGGAGTGCGGTAACACAAGGAACTATTGTGGATTTTTGCAAGAAATAAATATTGATTTTCACACGAAGGAGCAAAGCAAAAGACACTGTGGCCATGTATCATTTCATGGAAGTTAAAACAATGCATTTGGAATTTAATGAAATGGGATATTTTAATAATTGACGGTTTAAGTGTTAACAGTACCTTTTTTTAGTTTATATCTATATAATGTTTCACCATTTCAATTTAAAGCAACATGTACCTTACAGTTAATATGGGTGTGATATCATAACAGTTTAAATGGAATAGTCATATATTATATGTGATATTCCTTTCAATACTCAAAACAAATACATTTGTAAACTTCCGATAATTCGTAAAGAAGATAAATGGGAAAGTGTATGCATGCTAAAAATATGGAAAAAAAAAGAAAAAAAAATATATATATATATCAACCAAAATGACCTTTTCTTTGGATGACAACGATGAAACGATGAAATAAAACATTTAACAATTATTCCGATGCATTTTATCAGATTCATGTTGTTCTCACATGTGCCAGCTCTATTGAAATGTAGCTATCATTAGCCATAATTGACATTTCCCACAAAGGCAACGATCCTACAATTAACCACTTTGCTTCAAGGAAATAATTCACCAAAGTTGGTGGCCCTGTCCTCCAAGTACGTTTGGTTGTATTTTACGCATAGAGGGTCTACTACGTACTGTAGAATAAAAAAATAACCTGGGGACATTTCAGACAAGACAATTGATCTAGTAGAATGAAACATTTTACCTGGGGAAATTTCATAGAAGAAAAGTGTCTAGACATGTTCAATTAAAGGACGTGATGAAATCTGTTTGACCTGAATTGTGGTGCAAAAGTATACATAATAATTTTAGACGCTGAGAGAGTCGATCTCCTGAGTATCATAAATCACCTTTGCCTGGGTAAATTTCAGACAAGCCAAGAGTCTAGTCATGCTCAATTTACAGAATGAAATGAAATCTGTTTGAACTCAACTGTGGTGTAAAAGTTAGAAAATATCCGTGGGAATCGACAATACATCGTCATGCCTCCATTTATGATAAGACTATAAAACACCACCTAGTTTTCGGTAATGCACAATATATCCAGGTTTCCAAAAGGCAGTTAAATATGGCTTCTGTATATTGTATCCTATTAGTCTGATATCACCACACACCTTTGACAGGTGAGATGTTAACTCACATATATACGCAAGTTATACCAATGATGAAATTGCTGTATACAAACCTGTTTTACGCATATATTTTACTAATCATGATTACAATAACCACACTGCAACGAAATTATTGCCCCCATATACTCTGGGATTTCTTTAGATATGGATCGCTGGGCAGGGCGCGTTACCTTGGTAACAGGAGCATCCAAAATTATCGCAGGAGCCATTGTACGTGCTCTGGTTAATAATGATGTTATTATGTTGTTATGCTTGGTCTATAAAGCCTGAGGTGAATTCACTCGTAAGGCTACTGTTACATTTGTATAAAGGTGGTTTCAGGTCACCTTGTAGTTGATATCGACCGGGTTAATATTAAGTATTAGAGGACACTGGAGACCATACCTCTGTTATACCAGCGTAATTCTGCCATTTACGTTTACTGAAAACGATACAAGGTAAGAGGATTGTAAAAAGGTAAGATTATTTTCTATTTTTTCCGCTTTATATCGACCGGCGTCCTCGTTTGTGGTACTTATCATGTTGACAGCAAGCGAAGCCCTGCTTATTTTGGGGCAAAACAAAGATGGTGGTTGATTCGGGTTGTGGTTGTCGAGAAAAAAAAAAGACTCTCGCCTGTTGTGAGACATAGGCCCTATTTGGACAAGCGAATGAATACTGTCTGACTACAGGATGGTACTGTGTTACAACTGATTTGTGTCTATACTTTGATTTCATGTACTATTTTAAATAGCCTATAGTTAAAAGAGGGTATATGGCACAGGCACATAGCCAGGGGGTTCCGGGGGTTTGAACGAACCGCCCTTCTTGCCTTGAAAAGGTCCGCTCTGAGTCAAACATTCGCTCAGGGTTCTTTTCAGCGTTGGGGGGGGGGGGGGGGGTTCGCTGTTCAGCACAGTCTGACTCTTGTAAACTGAGGAAGCCTGTGTGTAAAATACTTGTTTATTACAAGCAATACGGAGAAAGCCCTTTCTCCGCAGCGGTAGATCACTTTTGCACGTTTCACAGCTGTATGTCCCTAAGTGTTCTTAATATGAAGTTGTTTCAGAAATGGATCGCTGGGCAGGACGCGTTGCCTTGGTAACAGGAGCTACGAAGGGGATTGGAGAAGCCATTGCTCGTGCTCTGGTTAAGAATGGTATGGTGGTGGTTGGATGTGCCAGACACGTGGGAGATATGCAAGTACGTCTTTTCAATATAATAATATAGATAAGAAAATAAATATTGGATGTCTTCGTGGAAAACATTGTAACTACTAAAAACTGTCTGGTGAAAAATTGATAAAGAATACAAGGGAAAATTTCTAAGAACTGTTTGCATGTTTATGTCCTCTATATCTTTAAAATATACGAATTTAGAACCATATATAGCTAGCTGCCAATTGCAATCCCTCTGTTATTCTGGTCGAACATTTCTCCTCGAGCAAATAGACGTCTAGTTGCGTAGGATGTCAAAAATATGATATTAAAATCGATATTCTTTCTCCTTAGACGAAAAAAATAACATATGTATATGTATTCCAGAAAGCTGCTGCGGGACTTAAGGGCGAAAAGGGTCGTTTGATTCCAATAAAGTGCGACCTTACCAAAACGGAAGAGATAGAGTCCATGTTTCAAAAAATCAAGGAACAGTTGGGCGGTGTCGACGTCTGCGTTAACAACGCTGGTGATCATACCTTTCAGGATTGCAAGACAGGCTCTTTATCTGATACCAAGACAATGTATGATGTAAGACAACTCTTATATGGTTTGGGTTTTCTTTCACCCCTTTGTCTTTAAGCGCCAGAACTCGTGTCAAAATGCTAAAATGTCAAAACAGATTTCCTTTGTGATAAATTCTGAATCTATGTCCCGAGGAAATATTTGTTCGTCTTACGTTTGTTTTGAATTGTTAGTCTTTATGCTAGTGTCTTGTTCAAATATATATTATTTCTGTTAATCAATTACAATAAGTGCATCCACCCTATCCCTGTATTTCTCCGCTAACTGTATGTTACCATAACGTCAAGTTCGGGTACATGTAATAGCTTATACGTAGGCAAATAGCTAAGTTAGCGCCAAGCCATGCTCTGCATGAACAAAGCTTTTCTTAGCTGATTGTTAGCTGATTTTAAAATAATATTATAATTCAACGTAAAACAAGTACGAAAAAATGACCAGCGATTTAAGTAATGAAGGTCATGACTTGTCGTTTCATTTACTGATATATTTTAAACAGGACCGACGTCTCGAATAAAGCTAAAGCCTATTTTCAGTTGAATGTATTCGCTGGCATCAACGTATCCCAGCTGACCATTCAGTCCATACAAGAAAGGAACATGGATGACGGGCACATTATTAACATTAGCAGGTAATACACAGCCAGGTTTAATAGAATATGTACTGGTTTCAACTGCTCGTCGTCCACTATATATATATATGACATAGAAGAGTGCTATCTATTGTTTGAAGCGTCAGCCGTAGTATAGATGTTTATTATCATGATTTACTAGAAGATAAATGATCAGATCAACAATATAATAAGTTATATAAACTTTAAAAAATCACATCCCAAACACGATGAAACCATCAAAGTCCTGAGCTATAACACCCGAGCTTGACCAACCACGAATTTTGGCTCTTGATGACAAAATGGAGAGAATGGGTAAAACAAACCTAGGCGGTAGCAAGGCAGCTGTATTATAACGACGACCAGGTTCTGGAGTCTTCAGTCATTTATTCACCACTCACTTTTCTTACAATTTTACCCATATTTATACTCTAAATCTCCGTACCGATCACGCGTGTAATTATGTTCTTTTTATTGTTTATGGCGTGATTTTCAGAAACTTTCCATTGTCATGTTGACTCTACCATAGAACATTTCCTAAGTAGGCAATGTCTAAGAGCCTTTTTTTCAACTTATCAAAAATACTATTTGCATTACTCATACTTGAATCATGTCCAAAACTTAGTTATCATGTGATAAAGTTGATCAAAATTAAAATCTGTTATGAATTAACCAATCACATTTAATGTTATTGACTTTGACCTTTTCCATCTTTTTTTCTGACACTAAAAACATGTTCTACACTTGTTGACTCTCGATGAAACTTAATTTGCACTCAATAGCACTCTAACTTTTCATCTATTTGATTTCCCTTTTATTACTAATTGTATTTAGCGTAAGCGTAAGTAATTAACTTTACAACAGCTGTGACAGGGGCTTTATAATTTCAAACTACTGTATTATGTCGAAGAAATTAGCTACCCAACTAACACAGAACGCCTTATAACTTTTATTTTGGTTATATAAACATTATGGTAACGTTATAATAACGCTCTGTCTTTGCTGTGTAGTCGCCATTGAATAGTATCGTGATAGAGGCTGGAATAATATGTAATCCTTGCTGAAGAGTACATGTATGTTGTTCCATATATTTCATTCTGTTGCAGTGTATGTGGAAACACTGTCCATGAAGGTGCCTTGTGTCACATGTATTCCCTTACAAAGTGTGCCCTGAATGCTTTCACGGAGGGTCTACGGCACGAGCTGAGACAGCAGAAAACGAAAATACGGACAACGGTATGAGAGAGAGAGAGAGATTTGGGTTCAAAATATATAGCTGCTGTAACAGTTCGGACTATAATTCATTAATTCAATAGTAGATAGATAAGGAAAAAATAAATAGACAAGTACAAACCAGAATAAATGAAAAATTCACAGCATTGGAATTAGACTAACGAGGTCGTATATGTATTACCCGTCCATAGATTGGCGGTAAGATAATATGATTGGACTGTAAAGTACCAAAGGTTTACTCAATGTAGACCAATTTTATCATTCCGTTATTAAAATATTATGCTCTATCACTAGGTCCTCATTCCTTCATTGGTCGACACCCCGAAGACAAGAGGAGTGCTTGATGACAGCTTCTTTAGCCCGGAAAATGTAAGCTACCATAAATAACTGCGGGTTTATTTTTCAACAGTTTTGGTCCTGTTCTAGGCTGTGCTCGATGTAGCGTGATAGAGAGTCCCCAATGATAGAGAGTCCGCTTCCCATCCATTTGTACATGTAAATGCGCCTCACCCTAGATTTTAACCCACGTATGTCGGGCTAACCCTAACCATTTGAACTGAAAGGGGGGGGGGGCGGACTTTCTGTTAAACAGACCCTCAGTTTCGTTACGCCTTTTTATGAAAGGTCTGTGATACGCTACATTTACCTCTGAAATAAATCAAAATCTTGATTTAATCCATCAACCAGTAAGGTTTACTACAAGTCTTTTCAAATAATTTAAGGAATGGGGGATTGTTTTTATAAAACCAAAATAAAGCGCACATTACGATTTCAAAAAAATTGTTTCATTTATTTGGTTAATAATTCTTACACGCATTTCCATTTCATTTAAAATGATAAACTATTAATAATTGACCTATTCACACATCAAACTAGCTAGGAAAATCCAACTCTGCGGGGTATCAACATGTACTCGATCTAAGTGGAATCCGTGGAATCAGCTTAATTGTCTTACACGCCTCCTCGAGAAGCTAAGGAGTAATTAACTATCGGGTGTTGATAAAGCTGTTTACACTGATTGCACATTATGGAGAATCCCCCACAGAATTGGACCGACCCAGCTTGTACGATGTGCAAATCTTAATGCGCCCTATTTTTCCACGTAATATAATTTCCCGCTAGATCCTTCAACCAGACGATGTCGCTGCCGCCGTGACCTTTGCCCTCAGTGCCCCACCATGTGTCAACGTAAGAAAAAAAAAATGACAAACCTTTGCCTTTAATACTTTATATTAAATCATTTCGTCTAGTTAAAGTTAGAGTCAGACTCAGGGTCTTGCATGAACACATAGGCCTATGATAGTTTTTTATTGTCTTGGGTCTCCCTATGATCTTGATATAAATACCCCTGTAGCCTGAGCTCATATCCAAGGACACATCGAATTCTTTATTATTAAATGTTGAACTTACTATTGTCCTCTCAGATATAGAATCAGCTATAATATTTAATCCCATTCATCATGTGCTTCAATGGAGCAACAGTTTATTTCATTGTAACAACTTTATTTTTTCAGGTCCGCCATATTTGCCTCCACGCGATACACGACTCTTATTAATTCAGGGACAACTGGTGCTGCCAGATTTGCACGTCTTTCTATTGCACACCCCTTTGAATGGACATTGTCTTGTTCTAAGTGTGTTATACTCTTGCATACAACACAAAATGCTTTTATTCATGTATATTAATTAAATGTGAGAGCTGGTGATCATGCGTTTTTACTACTTTAATAAATTTATACATCAGAATAGATGGCGCCACTAAACAGCCCATATATATGTGCCGGACTATATATTGCTGCAATGTCTCTTGAGAAAATACTGGATAGTAAAGGACTATAAAACTATACTGGAGCCGGGATTTTATGAATTACTCCGGACCATTAAACTAAAATTAATCAGTGATTAGTAAAAGGTAAGACTTACACCTGTAAGATGCAGAGTAGTAAACCTGCACTTAAGTGATATATACATTATATGTACATTCAAGAGCAAGGCCAGCCACAATTAGTAAGTAATAAACAAGACTTTAGAACTCCACCGTAAAGACAAACACCCAGAAGCTTTAATCCCTATCTCAAAAAAAAAAAAAAAACAAAAAACAAACAAACAAACAAAAAAAAAAAAAAAAAACATCAACAATAATAGTTACTATGATTTATGATACTAGGCCCTATATTCTTTATTTAAAGCTCAAGATCTATTTTAAATTCATAACATCCATAATGTTCAGTAGACGTGAGTGATATCTGTAATTCAAGAAATGTAAACACATTATTAGTAAGAATAAAAGAACAAGCTTAACATACATCTGTGTAGTCTCTTTCTCTCTCTCTCTCTTGTGAGATAAAAAACCCGTTTGCACACTGATCAGCAGTTCTTTTCTCATATGAACAGAAACAATCATTAATTGAAATTTATTGGCGAGTTAATCTGGCTCTATTGAGGCACATCCAGGGACGGATCCAGGATTATTTGAAAGGGGGGTGTGGGGTCGGGGCCCGCTGAAAAGGCCTGAAAAGGTGGTGTTTTAGAGAGCGATCGGTTCCATTTAGTACTGTTTCGAACTATGATTCCACTGGTCAAAAGTTGTTATTTCAAGAGGAAACTATTGGTGTTATCTTTTTCAGAAATCGAAGATGGGGTCAGGACTACCCTTACTTCCCCCTCAATACTGCCATTGCACATCAACAAGCACATTCAACCCAGGCACGCACACCTGTAGCATTTCAAATGTTTTTGTTTTGTTTACAAATATCACTGGGCCCCGTAACTCGAAAGCGTCTCGATTCCATAACTCGCCCATACTCGCCTCATATAATAGGCCCTTTATTGTAGCCTCTATGTGATATCGCTATTCGCAATACGCAATGTTTTCGAGTGACAGGACCCTGGTCTCGACAAGCCGTTACGCGGTACGTTTTTTCACAATACGAGACAGCATCGATGTCGACCTAGCTAGCTGTCATATGATAAAAGCTGAATGAACCCCGGTGCACAAAAAAGGCTTTTTGCAAAGTGCAAAAAATATATTGTCGGTCCGGTAATTAAGACTTAATTTCAGTTCAATTATTGTGATGTACATTAAAATTCTTTTTGGTAATGATCCTCCCTGTTACCCGGAGGATATTACATGGAATGCCACCAGTATCATCAACACATGGCAGGCCCGTAGCCAGGGGGGTGCGGGGGGTTCGAAAGAACCACCCCTTTTGTCAGGAAAAGGTCCATTTTGGGTAAAATTTTATCTAGGTACACATAAGTGTCATTGGAAAAGGTCCACTTTTTCAGATAAGCAACCCCCCTTTTGAATTTGCTGGCTACAGGCCTGCATGGTAACGATTTCCTTTGGATAACACTATCAATTAGATGAAATTAGTATTCTCTTGGAAGTTGTCCTTTGGATAAAGTAACGTTTTCTATACACTATAAGTACTTCTTTGTGCCTCTGATATTATCATTTGGTGGTGCAAACTGGCTTTTACCCTCAGGTGATTTTTATCCAGTGGATAGTGCTATCCAGAGTTGATGAAATTGGACCCAGTAGGATTTCCCATCACCCTCTGTTGTATTAATGTATACCCCGAAAATCAAATCATTTCTGTAACAGGTAGCCAGTGAATTGTAAGACTATCCAAGCGTCTACATATTGCCCAGTTTGTAATGATTGGCCTGAAAAATGAGGTCAATTCACTCCTTAACTGATACATGTAGATGTGTATAGAGTCAGTTTCAGGTCAAGTTGTAGTTTGGTATCGAATGGGGTCAAACTTTAGTTGGTGAGGACACTGGAAATCCACCTCTCTGTTATATCAGAGTAACTCTGCCATTTACGTTGACGACAAACGGTAAGAGGCAAATGAATTGTAGAGCGGCTTCTTCGCTTAATAATAGGGATGTTTCGCTATCCCGCCCGAAAACCAGCGCGCCGATAATTTCGATAATTTCGTAAAACGTCATCACTTTTTGCGCTTGTTTTTGCGTTCTCGTTGACGGATTCCTAGAAGCAGGCGCTGGATGTCGGAAGGCTGATCGGGAACGAGAATTGTTCTCGGCGGGCTAGTTCTCGGGCGAATCCTCCCTGATGTCCAATTTTTGGGACTCAGTAAAGACAAAGACCGTGAACTTGTAAAATGAGGAAGTAATTAGAAAACGGGCCATTGAAGGAATGGCAAATTAGGGTAGGCTTTTAGCATTTTCCTATTCATCCCTATTAGCAAAAATAGATAAAGACAAAAAAATATACCACTCAAAAGCAGCACAGCCTAGGGTTTTTGCTATTTTTTTTTAAATAGTAGGTGGCGCGTGACAAGAAATTTGCATTAATCTGAATAATTCTGCCAGATTTCTCTGGTCGGGAATGCGAAACCTTGTATGGCCATGTAGGCCCCGAGATCCGGAACGAGAATTGTTCTCAGCGGGCTAGTTCTCGGGTTGGGATAGCGAAACCTCCCTATTGACCGGTCGTCCTCGTTTTTTGGCGGTTATCACGTTGACAGTAGGTGAAACACTGCTTATTTCGGTGTAAAACAAAGATGGCACTTGAAGTAGGTGGTAGAGAAAAAAAGACTCACCAGCTGTGAGACATACGTGGATAGGCGTGAGTACTGTTAGGGCGCATTCCCATAGATTTTAGATCGATCTATCCCGTGGGGAGTCTCACTAGATTACTGTCAGATAATCCGGCCGGATTCTACGGCACGCTACACCGGCATAAATGTCCGTCCCGCCTACTACAAGCTGTAAGGGGGTAATTAACTGCCGTGCGCGGTCGGCTGACTGCAATTTAGCGTGAACCCCCAGGAAGTTAGGTCGATCTGGTAAGATCGATCTAAATATCTGGGGATGCCCTCTCAGACAACAGGGTCCGATAGTAGTGTGTTTTAAATTATTTTGCGTATATATACGATTTTAGATGCCCATGCTATCAGAAGGTATATGAGCCACCCCCACCCCCCCTTTCCGTTTTGTTACCATGTCCCGCTCCAAAGAGTCTACGGATTTTTTAACAGTAAAAATTTGCTTTTAGCATGAATTTGTTTCAGAAATGGATCGTTGGGCAGGACGTGTTGCCTTGGTAACAGGAGCATCGAAAGGGATAGGAGAAGCCATTGCTCGAGCTCTGGTTAAGAATGGTATGGTTGTGATTGGTTGTGCCAGACACGTGGAAGATATGCAAGTATGGATTTCCAATAATAATAATAATAATAATAATAATAATAATAATATATGACGATAATAATATAGATAAGCAAACTGAATTGGATATCGGATATCGAATTGAATGACTGATAGGGCCTACTTTTTTGTCCTTGGGTGAAAAGATGCTTAAATACAGGTATCTGTATTCCAGAAAGCAGCCGCGGGACTTGAGGGGGAAAAGGGTCGTTTGATTCCAATGAAGTGCGATCTTACCAAAACGGAAGAGATCGAGTCCATGTTTCAAAAAATCAAGGAACAGTTGGGCGGTGTCGATGTTTGTGTTAACAACGCTGGTGTTAACTTCTGTCAGGATTGCAAGACAGGCTCTTTATCTGATACCAAGACAATGTTTGACGTAAGAGAACTCAACTGATATGTTTTCAGCATACTGTTGGTCGTATTTCTATTAGATCCAGTACCCAGGTGAAAATAGACATTCTAGTTTCAAAAAAAATTATTCTGCTCATATCTGTTTGTTGAGTTCCAATTATCTACTTGAGTTTGTGGTTATTTTGTTCTGTTTTTTACAGCTTCTTTTTAAAATATTTTTGTACTGTTAACCAAAGCACATTAAATGCCTCCGTCCAGTCATTGTATATCTTTGCATACCGAAAGTTAACAGGGCGTTTATTCCTTAAAAGGTGTTTGTCAACCGATGTGAGTCGTCAGTCTGACTAAGATATTAATAATTTGGAATGAGATTAATTATTGTACTCATTGATGGTATCATAGTATAGCCAAAATGTAAAATCATGTGGGTGGCGCGATGGATGGCCAATCCTAGCAAATTCACCCTGAGCTTCAGAGCTAACTTGACACTAACCTCTTCACTGTAGCCTATCTTCATCGTGTCAAGTAACCTCTGACCAGATTCGATTGCCTCCGCCGCCCGCCAATCAAATTTAAAAGCCCGCACTCAATGACTCATTAAACGATCTAGCCAATGAACGCGAACGAGTCAAAGCGCGCTTTGTTCAAATCCGGACCAATCAAAGATAAGGCTGAATATCAGGGACTTGCCGTAACCTGTGGGCAGCACGCAAATAACATCGTCTCTCAGTAGATAATGATGCAGGGCCTCAAACTGCTAGACCCTATGGTTTCAATTCCGATTTACTCATATTTTGCAAAGAATCAAGAGATAACTTAACACATTCTTTTTCGTAGTCACTCGCCTTGCTTTCTTTGTGTACGGTAATACACTCGGAACTACTCGGATGTCTCCGCACTCGACAATAACTATGTTGTTAGTATGGAGCTTGCGGAATCAGCCGAGGATTGCCGATTGACGGTCAACCAATCAGCGTTTTCACCAAACTTTGGTGAAAAATTTTGAAACATGGATTTGATTGGCTTATATAAACTAGGTCAAACTATTTTCGTCAGAGGTTACTTGACACGATGGAGAATAGGCTACAGTGAAAAGGTTAGTGTCAAGTTAGCTCTGAAGCTCAGGGTGAGCAAATTGGAAGCGCCTCATTTTTTTCTCGTTTCTTGAATTTAATATCTTCAAGTGAATCGGAGACGACTGATCGACGCAAATAGGTTTGATGCCTTTTTTCAGTTGAATGTTTTCGCTGCCATCACCGTTTCCCAGATGACCATTCAGTCCATACAAGAAAGGAACATGGATGACGGGCACATTATCAACATCGGCAGGTAAGGTATACACCAGTTTCAAACTCTCTCTCTCTCTCTCTCTCTCTCTCTCTCTCTCTCTCTCTCTCTCTCTCTCTATATATATATATATATATATTTTTTTTTTTTTTTTTTACTAATAGATGGGCTGATCAGGCCAGCAATTAGTTGGTTAAAACTCTAAAAAATTGCACCTCAAACACGATGAAACCATCAAAGCCACTAGCTATGATACCAAGGTTGATCAAGAAGGAATTTTCATTTGGCTCATTGATGACAAAATGGAGAGTTTGGACAAACCCACCTCCAAGCAGTAGCAAAACAGGTGTAAAAGGGGCTTTATAATTTCAGTCGTCGTGTGTCGAAGAAGGTAGCACACAGAAAACGCTTTATAACATTTTTTGTTATATTAACTTTATGGTAACGTTTTAATAACGTTATTTGTTTGCTCGGTCATTGTATACTATTGTGATTATAATAATATGTTGTTATCCTTGCTGACGAGTGCATATATAATGTATTATGTATTTCATTCCATTGCAGTGTATGTGGAAACACTGTCCACGAAGGTACCACGTGCCACATGTATACCCTTACAAAGCAAGCGCTGCATGCTTTCACAGAGGGTCTGCGGCACGAGCTGAGACAGCAGAAAACAAAAATACGGACAACGGTATGAGAGAGAGAGAGAGAAAGAGAGAGAGAGAGAAAGAGAGAGAGAGTAATTATTAGCTGCGGTAACAATTCAGACTAGAATTCTTTTATTCAATAGTAGATAAATAAGCAAGTACAAAGCAGAGTGGTATTGGAATTTGAATAGCAAGGGTCGTATATATATATATTACCCGGCCATAGATTGACGGTTATATAATATGATTAATCTCTGAAGCATTATAGATTTTTTTAATGCAGATTAACAAATAATAATGAAATAAGGATAAAAATAATGAAATGATAATGAAAATAAATAAATAAATAAATAAATAAATAAATAAATAAATAAATAAATAGAATTAGACAAGCACAAACCAGCCTAAATGAGGTACTAAAGATTACCTCAATGTAGACCAGTATAATCATTCTGTTATTATAATACATGCATCATGCTTTATCACTAGGTCCTGAGCCCTGCCTTGGTCGACACACCGCTTGCAAGGGGAGTGCTTGATGACAGCTTCTTTTGCCCGGAAAATGTAAGCTACAATAATTACTTGCGGTTTATTCTTCAACTGCTTTGGACCTGCTGTAGACCGTGGCCAGTTTATACTAGGTCTGTGATACGTTACATTTACCTCTTATACATGTATAAACCAAAAGCTTTATTTTATCCACTCAACCTATAACGTTTAAGTCAAGTCTTTACAGGTTATTTGAGGTTGGAGGGTAGTTTTAATAAACCAATGTTATTTTAAAAGAAGATCCATATGACTTGAAATGGAATGTTACTACATTTAAACATTTTTGTATAAGATGAAATAATATTTCCATGGAAAAGTGTTTCAATACTTTGCTTACATGGTTCTAATAAACGAATACGCACTTCTGTATCAGTTAACATGATTAATTATTAAGTGATCTATGACAGCATTTAGGTCCACACATCGAACTAACTGGAATGATCCAGCTCTGCTGGGGATTTTCTTGGCTTAATTGTCTGATACGCATCCTCGAGCAGCTGGGGAGTAATTAAATATCGCGTGCTGATAAAGCTGATTATACTGATTGCACTTTAGAAAAAAATTCCCCACAGAAGTGGACTGACCCAGCTCTTACGATGTATGAATCTAAATGCACCCTATTTTTTCATGTAATACCATTTAACGCTAGAGTCTTCAACCGGACGATGTCGCTGCCGCCGTGACCTTTGCCCTCAGTGCCCCGCCATGTGTTAACGTAAAAATAATTTTCACTTACTTTTGCACGTATGTAAAACTTACATAAAAAATCAATCAGAAGCGAGGGCAGCCAAATTAAGACCACTGTTGGTAAGAATTATGGACATAATATAGAGACAGAACAAAATGACCTCCAAGAGCATATTGAAATTCTTTATTTCTAAAAAAGTATCCTGTCAAAATTTTCCTTCATAAAAGTCGGATGTGGGAGTGTATTTTCCGCCTTTCTGCATTTATTCGTCTATTTTATCCTTATTTTTCAGGTCCGCCAGATTTGCCTCCACGCCATCCACGACACCTTGTAAGTTCGGGACAACTGCCGCCTTTGTACGTCTGCCAAGTTCACGGCTTTTAAAATAATCAAATTCAGTTTTATTCTCCAGAATATAACACAATAAAGCTTCAAAGCCGACAATGAAGAATTTAAAGGTATTTCCACACGTATTGGCCTATGGGTCCAAAGGTTAATGTAGTGGTATTCACCAAATTTTTGCCGTAGTTCTGCGATTAACTGTTGTAATAATTATAATTATAACAAGCATATCTCAAAAAGTTTTATTTACACCTACTAATAATTAAAACAAGGTAGAAGAAATGTTGACTAATGCATATTGTACCTGTCAAGATTCTTTATTTTTCCATAAATTAAAGAAAAAAAATCATGTCAGGGTAACGCTTGTCAGTGCTTTTTTATTATTTTTATATCCTTCTTTTTATATCTTTTCATTTTTTTATCAAGAAAATATAATTGCTACATGTGTGATATTTCAACAGAACATCATTGATAAATAATCAATAAATTTCAACAATTTTTTTACCGGTAAATGCATGACTTATCTCGAATCTCTGTACCCAGTACTGTGCATATAGATTGAGATCTTTGCATTATACATCTACCGGTAGGCTACATATAATAAATACGAAAGTGAAAACATATTGAGAACCATACGTTCTGTTAACTGTTATTCTAAGACAGCACGGGCTATATCAATGCCTGTAGCCCATTATTCTACATTACATGTATATATATATGTTATTAGATATATTACATTCATCATCTGACAAAAATATAAATCGGTTTGATGAGATACATAGATTAAGGGCTTACAACCCTTATAATTTTATGGAGACTGCCATAACAACCCATCGGAGGAGGGGGGGGGGCATGTACAGTAGGCTCAGGGCCCCAAAATGTTTCATCATTTTAAATGATGTATCAACTACAGTTTACTAGGACAGCCTCCATTGCTGACTCGTGCGTAATACTTCTCAAATTATTCATACATCTTTAATAGCTGGAACATACTCGCACATGCAGTTGAAGTCTAAGCTTAAGTTGTTATTCATGTATTCTGTATAGTGAACAAAGAAATAGCCACTATATTTGGCTGCGTTACTTCCTAAATTCTTCTCATAGCTTTAACTTAACTTTAGACGTTAAACAATCAATCGATAATGATAATGATATAAAAATAAAAACCCCGAGGAAAATTTTGTCGGGGGTCTCTACTCGACGCATCGATCCTTTTTCATGTTCTACTTAATTGGTTCTCTGATTCCATAGAAACTTTGTGAACAAGCAGCCATGTCTGGTATGTCCATGTTGAAGCTCAGGACTGCATTGAATTCTACGTGATGACAATATCAACCACATTTGATTTTTTTTCAGTTATTTAAGCTCTATTTCTCAATAGCTCGATGTTAATACACTTGCGGCATCCTATTATATTTTACTACTTGCCTGAAAAATCGTCCACCCTTATGGGTGAGAATACTTTATTTCACAAATACCATCTTTCACAAATCATATGTAAACTTAATTGAAATCAGTACTAGGAATTATTCACAGAGAATCCTCAAATGTTTAGGCAGAAATGTAGTTTTACCTAAATATCTAATTCAGTTTGTTAATATCTACCATCTCTAATGCTAGCGCACGCCTTTAAGCATCACGCGCACAATGCGAAACACAAGTGTTTAAAGCAACCAAATTTTTTTATGGTTGATTAAAAATATATGACCACTATAACTGCTGTAAAATTGTATTGCCTCCCACTTTTCAGCTACTAAAAGATCAACTAGTTGACCATCAATCTTAATATTTGTGGTGGCGAAAAAATTGGAAAAATATGCAAAACAAAGTGTAAATTAAGATTAATAATTTAGCTTTGTTGGTGTTGACTACAGGGTTTGTATAGCTTTGTTGACAAGCAGCCATACAAAGTATCATTTTTAATCCTCTGCCATTTTATCTGACATCCATTTCTCTGATATCTACGGACTATAATCCACATCTCTATTGTCCGCCTTCAGTGTAATAAAAATGAAAACTCGTTGTTAAAGTCACTTTAGCACCTCCATGGTGCGAGCCCTAAATCAGCTGCCGCTCAACTCCTCACATTTCCATCATTTCTCAGATCTACCTTGATTCATTTGCCTACCTATCGTCTTTTTTTTTTTGTAATGATAGTAACTTGCTATTATAATTAATAAATGTAGCACCTCAAGACCTCCTGAGGTCCACGGCTGGACGACGACTGCCGTTCATGCCTCCATCTTCACTTACCCATCTTTTATTTCATCTAACCTACTTTAAATCACACCTCCATCGTTTCTTACATATATCTTATCCATTTGTCTATCGGTCGTCTGCTGTGTAAAGATAGTAACTCACTTTCACAGTTAAAAACGCCTCCATCCTCAAATCTTTTCTTACGCCGTGGCTATACTTTGAATCACACGTTGATCTTTCGTCTTCCGTGCAAAGACAGTGAGTAACTCGCTGATATAGTTACTAACACCGTATAAATAGGGGTCGACGGCTCGGTAACAACTGGGCGTCGTTCCAACCACCATCTTCATCCTTTCATCGATGCCTAAAGCATCCACTTCTTGCCTTTTTGCCAGCAATAGGCAATAATGACGTTTGTAATAAATACATTGGTTTAAATACCCTACATTAAATGTTAATACATCGGTTTAAATACATGCGCCCTACGTTTAAAGCTAAATGGTTAAGTGTCTGTATATAAAGCTCAACTGGTACAATGACAGGTCCGTAGCCGGGGGGGGGGGNCCACTTTTTCAGAAAAAGAACCCCCCTTTTGAAATTGCTGGCTACGGGCCTGAATGAACATGCAACCTAAATTTTCTGCAAAGTTTTAGAAAGACTTCGAATGTGCAAATCAATTGTAACACTATGCGTCAGCGGAGTAACTTAATGTTGAATAAAATACTTATAAACAATTTATTTTAGAGTAATCTATTTATGGAACCCCATGAAAAATGAAATTAAATAAAATAAATTAGCATGTTGTTGCTGACTGTAAAATTTATGGTATTCTACTCCTGCTCGGCCTTTCTCTTGCTGCTCTTGCCGTTCCCCTTTCCTTTCCCGCCGCTGGCCAATTCTTGTTGCAGCACCAGATCTTCCATAATTAACTCTTGCAGTTTCTGCTCGCTCCAGGCGTCCCAGACCTCAACATCCCCGTAGTTAACCTCGGTGCTGCCTGCAGCCCCACTTCCTGACAGAGCAGCGGTGATGACATCTTTGGAGAGCACGGACTCTGAACTTAAAGAAGGATTGAGCTCAGCGACTGGCAGCAGACCTGAGGGCTCGGCGGTCTCTCCGTCTGGCTCGGGGAACTTGGTGTTGATGTCCAGGATCTTAACCGGCTTCTTCTTCTTTTCCTTCTTCTCCTTCTTTGGTTTAGGGACATAGGTCTTCCCCTTTTTCTCCATCTTGGCTTTTTTCTCCTCCTCTTTCTTTTTCTCCTTCTCCTCTTCCTTCCTTTCCTTCTCCTTTTCTTTTTCTTCTTTCTTTTGCTGTTTCTCCTTTTGTATTTCTACCTTTCTTTGGACGAGCACTCTGTCCACTAAATCGCCTCTAACCTTCCCATCTACTGGGCAGTCATCCGGAGGACAACATTTGTCGAACAGGTTTACAGGTCTTGGTTCCGGCCCCGGATTGGCTGGGGTGGGATAGACGCCGGGGTCTGGCTGAAATAGATGATTTTCATATCAATTTACTTCGAAGTAATAGATAGATTTTAATTGTGAATTAATGATTGTGAGTTAATGGGGAATCTCAATTTGAATAAAGATCAAACAACTCACCTGCAGAAAGCAGCAACAGAAAACGGCGAGGAATGCCCGCCATCTTGAGACCTCCTTGGGTATCTCTTCCACCCTTTCTTCATCCTGCTTTGTTTCATATCTTTCTTGGGCCTCTCTCAGTCTTGCTTTAGTCTTTCCCAGACTATTCTCTTCTTCCACAGAGGAAGCCGATTCGGCCCTTTTGGTGAAATAAAAAAGAAGTTAATTTGGAAATTAAATGTATTTTACATTATGATATAGATATCAGCTGTGACGGAGATAACTAAATCAAATCACCGAACTGAATTTATTACGTCGATCAGGAGACAAAATTTTAAAAAGGTCAGTTAAAACAAAACTGCAAAAAACGGTGCACTCAAATGAAAACAGTGCTAAATCAGCTAATTATTTCAAATTTTCACAGAAATATTTAGCAGAAAAAATTTAAACAAGCAAATGATGTATTGATTCGGAAACATACCGCTCTGGTGTGGGAGTACGCTCACTGGCAAGACTTTCTTCGCTGCTCTTATTCGAGTTATTTGTCTTTATAATAAAAAAAAAAACATGGGGAAAACAAAATATGATTTCGATATTGGTTTTAGATATTATACTTTAAAATATTTATTTTTGTTTAATTATGCTCAGTTTAAAAACTCTTCGTATTTTGCATAATTGTTGGCTTTCGACAGACTTTCATTGTTATGGCGTCTTTACTAACGCATGCTACTTGAAGAAGGGTTACATAAAGAAGCAAAGCAGTTTATTTAAGCTAAAGATATACATACTGTAAAACTGTACCGACCATAAATATAAAAGCAAAGGCACATATTATATAACGTACCTCAATTGGACCCCTTGGAACCCCATATTCCGGCTCTTCAGCTCGAGCGGATTTGGGGGATGGAGCGACCCTTCTGCTACGACGGCGTATGCGAAATGCGCTTGCCGCTCGAGACGCTACATTTCGAACACGTTTACGGGCGCGACTTAATCTACCTTCTTTTACTTCAGATTCTTCCATTAAATCAAAATAACTTAATAAAAACTCACGGTTTCATAAATTACGAACATCGCCATAGGCTTGGATATTGTAACTAACGTTACGGGAGTGATGCCGTTACGTGGTTGCCACTTATGACGTCATAGAAAGCGAAATGGAAATGCAACAAAGAAGTAACGTCTGCCCATTACGTTTAACAACGACTTATTTTAAAAGAACCAAACCAAATTATATATATATATATATATATATATATATATATATATATATATATATATATATATATATATATATATATATATATATATATATATATATAAACGTTTTCAAGACCCGTTTATTTATTTATTTGATTGCTTATTCACGTTTTATTTGTCAGTTATTGGCCAGTTTAACAACCAATATATTTTTTATTGCGTAATTATATTTGATAAGTATGTTATATCAAGGAGTTCCAACAATGTATGTTTTTATCAAACCCCTACCAAATATTTGAAGTACTTGTGCAAGTTTTTGCTTTTTTTTATTTGATATTATGTTTCTTTACATCGCTACTGTTATCAATTAATGAGAGGTGATAAGAAAAAGGCAAAGTTAAAGGCCCGATGCGTGTCAGTTGCTTTACTGTCCAACCGTCATTTGTACCTGCTCATTAGACGGTCATTCAGGTAAAAGGTAGACGAAAGCTAACCGCGGCATTTTTTTTTTTTGGGGGGGGGGGGGGGGGTCCGAATTCTGCGTGGTTCCCTAGAAGGCTTGTGGCGTACTTCATGGATTAGGTCACAACGATTTACAAGCAAGTTTAAACGTCGTTGGACGTGACCGGTTCTGTGAGGTGTATAGCAAACTGTAGATGTACTTTTACAGACAGACTGGAACTGACTTCACGTTCATCCGAAGAGCTGCGCGTTATATTTCATTTTCAACAACATACCCTTCGAAACATTTCTCTGCTTTCAATTGTATA